GTACTTTTTTTTTTTTTTTTTTTTTTTTTTTTTTTTTATATATATATATATATAATTAAAGATGCTTTCATGGGGGGTGTTGCGTAATGTAATTCCGCCTTGAAACACATGAATTTCGAAGCGGCCTATGGTATGCTCGAAATATTCAGCATGCATATTTCTATGCATAAGAGACTGAAAGTATAATCGAAGGAGAGATGCAGAGCATTTACTTTTACAATAATATCGATGTACAGAGATAGAAAGATTGAGAGAGAGGGAGAGAAAGTGTGAAAGAGAGAGTGAGAGAAAAAGTGCACAAGAGAGTGTGAGAGTTGGTATCTAATAGCATTAAAATGCTAAATTTTATTAGGTAGGTTCAATCTGTTCAAGTAAACGATGAATACAGAGTTTTAACCTTGATAATTATTATAATTATAAAACAACCAGTATTTTATATTGTTCTGCGCTTACTTAAGAATAAGACATAGAATGATGTCTTATATCCCGGTAATGAAAGTGTACTTAAAACATGAGTTGACCAATTGTTTACTTATAGAACAGTTAATCGTGTAATAATTAATAGGTAATAACATATAGCTAACATTGTCAACAAAACATTACGTTTTTTATCTATTACATAAACACATTTTTCTTTTATTTTCTACTTTTTAATAACACGCCAACGACGGATGAAAAATTTCGTACGTTACAATCAACGTACATCTCTTTTTTAATACCGCGAAAATCGATTTGCGACAGTTTTTTTTTTATAAATAAATTTTATGTTAAAATATTTGTTTCCAAATTATATTGTATTAAATGAAATTCTTGTGGAATTTTTATAAAAATGATGTTTATTTGTTATTAAAATTTTACGATTATTCTATTGTTTAGAAACTAAGACAGTTTATGTTTGGTTTATTATGTTTATGTAAAAAATGTATATCCTTTGTCATAATGAAACTAGGATGTTAGAACCAGTGATTAAAGATTTTTATCACATATGAATATAAAATTCTGTTCACAATATTCGAATAACTTGGTCGAAAAATTCAATTATGTTCATAAAGTACATTATCAAAATAAGAATTAATCTCTTATGCATTTAATATCACTGTTTTAAAAAAATGATGTTATAAAAAATACAATGAAAAATTATTGCGCTTTAGTTGTAAGCTGGTGCAATTCCTTATTTTGAATAAATGCAAAATTTTTTTACAAAAAGTCATTTGTAAAATGGAGCCAGAGTCTCCTGTTTAGAACAAAGAATACTCATCTCTGTCGTTGGTATTATAATGAGACTGTCATATCAACGCATTATTCGTTTTATTAATGCAACAATTAAGTTTCTTTTCATTCATTGATAAGAATATTACAACATGCAATACTTAATCTGTAATAATTTATAAGAATTGTCTTCCCATCTATACAGCAGATTTCCTTGTGCAAAAATTGTATGTTGTATTATTATATACATAACGCATATACAGGGTGTTCATTAAACATAAAACAAAAATATAGGAAATAATTTTATTAAATTTTATCTTGAGAAAATTTTTTTGTCGAATTTTAAATATTTCAGATAACAAATATAATAAGTTGTTTTTACTATATTGTTTTTATTTTTAAAATACTAAGCACCATTCTCATAAAATTTCAGAAAATTTGGTATAAGATTTTACTGTGCAACAACTAATATAAACCAAATTTTTAAATATTTGCTAAAAAAATAAATCTCTTACTCATTGTAATGAAACACTCTGTGTAAGTATATATATTGTATGCATAGTAAAACAGTTTAAGTATCAGATTCTTATTGTACTTCACAGTTTTAAAAAATTATTGTTTGTTAGCCACTTAATATGTTACATCTTCAAGTTCCAACAGTGCTAATATATCATTTTTCATAATAATAATATTTGAAAATAGATTTAAAAGCTCACGAATAAAAATATTCTATACTGTTGTTTGCATATGAAGATGTCTTTTTGTACAAGACAAGTTTTCTTTTTTCCAAAGTATCTTTTTAAATAACACTTACTTAATATTTGAATAATAAATAAGGTTAAAATAAAATATTTAACTATAAATATGTCATTAATACATCAATTTTTTTTATTTTACATTGATCAGTATATAATAACCTGCTGAGTAAAAAATTCTTGAAGTCGTTGTTTTGGTACTAACATTGTAGTCATTAAAAAAAGAAGAGTATATTAAAAAATTCATACGATTTCGCGACAAAAGATGTATGTACCATTTAACTAAAAATAAAATTCTTAACAATAAATTATAGCTAGAAATCCTTCTGTTATGAGAAGTATTACTAGAATATCAATTAGTAAAGTACTATAGAAAAAACACTGAAATATTTGTGCCTTCTATAAAGTATAGTATTTTACTCCTTTTGTCATTTGTGATGCGAGATAGAAACGACAAGAATTAAATAAAACAAATTCGTAGAAATAATGTAAATATATAGAGTTAAGAACCGACAGTCTGACTAAAATTACTAACCAATAAAAAATTTTTATGAAATGTTTATCAAATTTTCGATAAACTTTCGATTGTTTAAAATAATACAAAAATCAACATATTTTTCTTCGTTTGGAAGAAATAAGATATTAAACTGACCAGTGCTTTCAACTTCTGCGTATTATTTAAATTGAAATTTCCGTATTATTTGCTTTTAATGATCTTAATTATCCAAATAATATGAAATCGAAAAGTATAATTATATCATATTTTTTGGACTTTTCGTAAGCGGGTATTATACATTTATATGCCACAATTAAACTAACTTTTCCTAATCATTTATTAAAATATAGGAAAATCGGTTGATAACTTAAACAGTTGTAGAAACGAAATTTAGCCAGTATTTTTAACAATTCCTAATTAAAGAAAAAAACAATTTAATATTGAATTACCTTCACTTTTAATTGGTACTGCATTAATCACCTTTTTACTAGATGTTTCTAAATTTAGTTCAAAATGCAAATTCTCGTTACGAATTAAATGCAAGGACTTGAGTTTATTTTAAATCGAAAGTTCAGCGCCAATTAAAAGCTAAGGAAATATAAGGTAAATAATACTGTAAATATAAAGGTACAGAATAATATTTTTCTGTGACAAATATATAGAAGATAGGTGAAAACGACAGAAAGATAAAGAGATCGATGAATCGAATGTGCTGGTGAACTATAACATAGTGGAGGGGAGTGAGGGGGGCAAAAGCGTGCGAGTCAAAGAGAAAATTTGAGAATACATAAAACGGAAGTGTACAAAATAAATTTATAAAGACGTTAATATTTAATTTGTTAAAAAATAAATGACTGATCAACATTTGATAAAAAACAAAAATTTCTCACGAGATTCAAACACGAGATCTCAGTGATCATCAATTAGATTTGGTTTCATGTTCACCCAACTATGATAAAAGTATCAGTTTAAGCGCTTTTATCTAATTGAGAATCAATTAGGAATTTGATAAGAACAATAATAATTTTCTTTTCATTCATTGATAAGAATATTACAACATGCAATACTTAATCTGTAATAATTTATAAGAATTGTCTTCCCATCTATACAGCAGATTTCCTTGTGCAAAAATTGTATGTTGTATTATTATATACATAACGCATATACAGGGTGTTCATTAAACATAAAACAAAAATATAGGAAATAATTTTATTAAATTTTATCTTGAGAAAATTTTTTTGTCGAATTTTAAATATTTCAGATAACAAATATAATAAGTTGTTTTTACTATATTGTTTTTATTTTTAAAATACTAAGCACCATTCTCATAAAATTTCAGAAAATTTGGTATAAGATTTTACTGTGCAACAACTAATATAAACCAAATTTTTAAATATTTGCTAAAAAAATAAATCTCTTACTCATTGTAATGAAACACTCTGTGTAAGTATATATATTGTATGCATAGTAAAACAGTTTAAGTATCAGATTCTTATTGTACTTCACAGTTTTAAAAAATTATTGTTTGTTAGCCACTTAATATGTTACATCTTCAAGTTCCAACAGTGCTAATATATCATTTTTCATAATAATAATATTTGAAAATAGATTTAAAAGCTCACGAATAAAAATATTCTATACTGTTGTTTGCATATGAAGATGTCTTTTTGTACAAGACAAGTTTTCTTTTTTCCAAAGTATCTTTTTAAATAACACTTACTTAATATTTGAATAATAAATAAGGTTAAAATAAAATATTTAACTATAAATATGTCATTAATACATCAATTTTTTTTATTTTACATTGATCAGTATATAATAACCTGCTGAGTAAAAAATTCTTGAAGTCGTTGTTTTGGTACTAACATTGTAGTCATTAAAAAAAGAAGAGTATATTAAAAAATTCATACGATTTCGCGACAAAAGATGTATGTACCATTTAACTAAAAATAAAATTCTTAACAATAAATTATAGCTAGAAATCCTTCTGTTATGAGAAGTATTACTAGAATATCAATTAGTAAAGTACTATAGAAAAAACACTGAAATATTTGTGCCTTCTATAAAGTATAGTATTTTACTCCTTTTGTCATTTGTGATGCGAGATAGAAACGACAAGAATTAAATAAAACAAATTCGTAGAAATAATGTAAATATATAGAGTTAAGAACCGACAGTCTGACTAAAATTACTAACCAATAAAAAATTTTTATGAAATGTTTATCAAATTTTCGATAAACTTTCGATTGTTTAAAATAATACAAAAATCAACATATTTTTCTTCGTTTGGAAGAAATAAGATATTAAACTGACCAGTGCTTTCAACTTCTGCGTATTATTTAAATTGAAATTTCCGTATTATTTGCTTTTAATGATCTTAATTATCCAAATAATATGAAATCGAAAAGTATAATTATATCATATTTTTTGGACTTTTCGTAAGCGGGTATTATACATTTATATGCCACAATTAAACTAACTTTTCCTAATCATTTATTAAAATATAGGAAAATCGGTTGATAACTTAAACAGTTGTAGAAACGAAATTTAGCCAGTATTTTTAACAATTCCTAATTAAAGAAAAAAACAATTTAATATTGAATTACCTTCACTTTTAATTGGTACTGCATTAATCACCTTTTTACTAGATGTTTCTAAATTTAGTTCAAAATGCAAATTCTCGTTACGAATTAAATGCAAGGACTTGAGTTTATTTTAAATCGAAAGTTCAGCGCCAATTAAAAGCTAAGGAAATATAAGGTAAATAATACTGTAAATATAAAGGTACAGAATAATATTTTTCTGTGACAAATATATAGAAGATAGGTGAAAACGACAGAAAGATAAAGAGATCGATGAATCGAATGTGCTGGTGAACTATAACATAGTGGAGGGGAGTGAGGGGGGCAAAAGCGTGCGAGTCAAAGAGAAAATTTGAGAATACATAAAACGGAAGTGTACAAAATAAATTTATAAAGACGTTAATATTTAATTTGTTAAAAAATAAATGACTGATCAACATTTGATAAAAAACAAAAATTTCTCACGAGATTCAAACACGAGATCTCAGTGATCATCAATTAGATTTGGTTTCATGTTCACCCAACTATGATAAAAGTATCAGTTTAAGCGCTTTTATCTAATTGAGAATCAATTAGGAATTTGATAAGAACAATAATAATGGTCTTCCGTTTGCAAAGATATAGTATTAATATCTTAAATATATAATAATAAAAAAAAATTGATCAAAATTCTTTTGCCAATCATGACAATATACAAGCGAAGTTGTGAACTTCGTCAATATATGTATATTAATCAAGGAGCTTAAATACAATAGATTGTAACAATAATTAACCCAATATACATGCGCGTATTAAAATTAAAAAAGGATCGTATTCTAGAAATAATAAATATTCTCGCGTCTAATATGTAATCTTAATACATTATCAAATGCAGCGGAAAATTTTTATATGGAATGTAAAAATAGTATTGAATTTTATATCATATACGATGAACTGACTTGCATTCGTTTTTCTTCCCGAATATATTGTTTTGTATAATGTTTATAATAATTTTTTATTTAAATATCAAAATAAACAAGTTTAGTACAGAGAAATGACTAGAATATTGTAAAAAAGAATTTCATTATCAAGTCAGTTGATCGAATAAAGACAGATTGCAAAAGTGTAATCACAGAAATACTTCATATTCACAATATAGAAAGATGACTATTTAAACGTAATTAGAGGGTAGCTTTATACATACAACATGTTCATTATAAAATAAACAAATTTTTATAAAATACTGTGTTCTACTTTGCTCCAATGAAATGATCTTTATCAAATTCTAAGAATAATTGTTATTATTATTTATCAAAAATTTTTATGAAAAATTAATATAGTAGTAAACTTTCAATTTTAAGATCTCAAAACTTATTTAAATATTGCTAATATTTATTTTATATTAAAGAAACTGAAAAATAAATAGTTTATAATAAATTTATGCAAAAGTGTTTGAAAAAAAAATAGTATTCAAATATCAATATTAAATCATTAAAAAACACTTAAATATTATTGAAATTTTATTTAAATATATCTTTGTTGGGAAATAAAATACAATATAATTCAAACTTATATTATGTATAATATATTTACTTTTATATTTATAATGTATTTAGTGATTATTTATGTCCGTGGTTTTATAGATTCGTGCCCGTTACTATATACTTTGGGACTCGTGGTTTATATAAATTGGTAACCATGGCTTATGTAAATGGTATCCGTGGAGTACTGAACCGTTCTGCTCGACAGAAATACAGCGCGAAACTTAAAAACATCTTAAGATGTTTAATAACAATGTTATTATGTCAAGTTAAAAAGTTAGATTTTCATTATTGGTCGAAATGTTCTTTGATGGTATATCGAACAGAACAAATTCTTTGCTTTTACAATTTTGCTAGCTATCTTCTCATTTCGACATTGTAAACATATTAATCTTTTATCACAAAAATAATTGGTTTTATTAGTAAATGCAACATTTTTCAACCATGATACTTCTTATCATTTTTTTCTTGATATATGACCAATATTAGTTTTACATATACAGATAATTTCAAATTTTACTCCTAATTTAAATATAGATATTGTTAAACATAAATATATTTCAGTCAAATTCATGCTATAGTATAACAATCATATTAACTTGAAACATTTCAATATTACTAACTATGATATATAAGTGCTGGGGAATTTTTGAATGCAGTTTTAATGACAGTTGGTTATACATCGTTGGTCTTATGATCTAAGTACTGAAAGAGGTGTGATTTTACGACAGCAGGCTTTTAATTTTCTACAAGTAAAATATTAAGTAAAATATACAAGTTTTAAGAGACGACAACAAAAATGGTTGATCGTGTGAACATTAAAGAAATGATACCAGCTTTGCCGGATGAAAAAATTGGTAATTATTTTTAAATATACTTATTTCTTAATTTAATGTTGCCCCTCCCAATAATGTTATGTGTTTATGTGATTTAAAAAGCGTAATATTGCTTTTATTTTTATTTTGATATTACTAATTTATCAGAAAATAATAAATAAACAATTAAAGAAATACTAAATTTTATATTGTAATTTGAAAGAAACACTTTTTTTGTGTTATAAGATAAAATTCTTTCTGTAAAGATTTAAGCTATATAAGTTGCACGCATTTAAATCCTGTTCATGTTAATAATTGATAAATCTATTCTCCCAAATTATGTATTATATTTATTTTCAAATACACCTGTCATTATAAATGTGAAACTATAAGCAAATATATTACTATATGCATATTGTTTCATTTCTTTATTGCTGTTATCTTAATTTAGCAATAAATAACAGCTAATTTTCAATTTCAGATATGCTAGCAGCTACTAGCATTCTTCAGCAACAAGCTGCTGATATTAGAAATCACCGAGTCAATTGGCAATCATATAAACAGTAAGAAACTCATTTTAAATATTAATATTTAAACATTATATTAATTTAAGGGTAATATGAATATATATATGAATATTTAGGGATATTATGAACTTAGTTTTCAATCGTTTTTATACTTATTATATATAAGTATTAAACACATTTTATATTTTTTATTTCATAGGTCTCATATGATATCAAAAGAAGATTATGATTTTATAGTAGCTTTTGATACAAATGATGCTAGTGTTCGAGATGCAAAACTTAAGGAAAATCAACATCAAGCTGCTAAAACTTTTCTTAACTTACTTGGTCATATTTCAAAAGACCAAACTATCCAGTACATTCTTACAATGATTGATGATATGCTTCAGGTACATTTAGTTATAGAAATTACACTAAAATAAAATTCCATTTATAGAAATCAATTAGGAGACAAATGATTTTCATAACTTATTCATTTATATAAAAGAAATTTTTTTTACTATTTATTATTTCCCATGTGAATAACTGAAATTTATATTGAGTTAATTAAATTAAAATATATATTTACCTATTCGTTTACTCGCTAATGTTTCAAAATTATTGCTCACATTTGAGCTATTCTAAAAGTTTATTTATCTGAAGTGATATATGGTGGTAATTGAAATTCAGGAAAAATTAAATGAATCAAATGATGGAGTATAATTATGTCCAACAAATAGAATTCAGATAGGTGCAATTCTATTTTAATATAATTTATTATTTTTTAATGTTTACAAATATTCGCATTTTAATTTTAGGAAGATCGTAGTCGTGTAGAAATCTTTATAGAACATTCAAGTCAAAAAAATGAAGTAGTATGGGGACCTTTTTTAAATTTATTGAATAGACAAGATGGATTTATAATGAATATGACTGCACGAATTATTGCCAAACTTGCTTGTTGGAGTCACGAATTAATGGAAAAGACAGATCTTCAATTCTACTTAACATGGTTAAAAGATCAGTTAAAACTCAGTGTAAGTTTGTATAATAATAATAATAATAATAATAATTTATTTCCTCAGTCCATATATGCTAATATATTTTTGAAAACAGTTTTATATGTTACAAATTTATTCTAAATAGTGCTTAGTTAATTACAATATTGTGTTTAATTTCATTTGATCAAATAACAATGTTGTTACAAATGTTAACCAAAACTTTCAGTGTGTTTCATATTCTAAAAATATCATTTTATCCCTTACTTTAGTCTTATGATTATCAACATGTCTTTCTGGTTATTGCATTCTCTTATGCTGCTCATTTTTAATTTAATTGAAAGATTACCTTCTCATAACTTTTTGCAAATTCACATATTCTTTTATGGATTCTTCTTTTTGTAATCTTCATTAGCTATTTAGGTTTTTACTCCTTCCCAAATTAATTGTCCAATCTCACGAATAATTGGTTATTTTTCATATTGGAACATTTCCATATATGAGAAAATTTAACAGAATTGAATTTACATACAGAATAAGCTCTTTTCTCAATATTCTTGAATAATAAGTTTCTGATACTTCTACACCTTATCCTGAGTTATCGTTTTTTGTGTTTTGCATTGTATATATGTATTTTCATTCTAATAATTTCCTTTCTCCAACTTTCCTTCCCAAACCTTGTATTTGTCAAAATAATTAAATTTATCTATTATTTTTCCACCTTATTTGTACATTTCATTCTACTTTTGTTCATTAAAATTAAACTCTTCATTTTCTCACATCCAATACCTCATCCTTTCCTACTTCTCTCATTTCTTTTTCTACATTTTTTATTCATCTGAAAGCATTTTCTTTTTTCCATGTCTCAAATTCCTTTTCTAGTTATGTCTTTCTTGCTATTTTAATTATTCTCCTTTTTGTATCTTCTCCTGGAATTCATTTGTATCTAACAGTTGTTTCAAATGATCTAGCTACTTTTGTTTTCCTATTTCTTATTCCATTGCTTTTTTCCTATCGTAGAAAACTTTTACTGCCTCCCACAATTTTGTCAATGTTTTAATATCCTTTATTCTATTCCACATTTTTTCTCTTTATTCTATCCTATTCCTTATAATACTTTCTGATATTTTGTCCCATTTCCATCACTTGCATTATGTTTTCTATACTTTTTTATTATTTTTCTGAGTTTTCTCCTCTCTTTACTATACTTTTACTTCAAGTCATATCTTTGCTTTTATTTTACTTTTTTCTACTTTTTACACTTTGTCACTTATTGCTATTTTGATTATTATTTCCAGATACTTAATCCTTGCTGCCATATTTTCATAATTTTTTTTAACTTGGTTCACTTCTCTTCTAAAAGTTTTGTAAATCTCTCAACATTGTTCACTTACCATTTCTATTTTTCATCCATTTTTTTTTTCTTTTTCTTGTACTTATACATACATACATATGTACATATGATGATGATATATATGAAGTCATACTTTCACTTCATCTTAAAGTTTTCTGTTTTCTTCCATATCCTTATTCATTACCCCTTTTCGACCTTCCCCTTTGCACTTCTCTAAAGGTTACTTTGAATTACCATTTAAATTTTTTATTCAGCTTAGTTTTCAGTTTAGAGCAGGATTTTTCATCCCTTCTTTCTAATCCAAATTTTTTTCATTAAAATTAAATCTACCTATTTTAACACATTCCATTCATTTTATAATCTTTTTATACATGATGCAAAATTTTAGATCCTTAGATCATCTCTATTTTCTATGCATCTGATCCATTTTTCACTGAAAAATGTCCTAATTTTTAATAACTGACCCTTGTTCTACTTCCCTCTTCTTTTTTTTTCTTTGCCCTCATCCTAATTTTACTTTGAATCCTTTTTTTCCATCCATATTGAATCATCTTGAATCAAAATTTGTATACCTCTTATGAGATTTTTATTTTTCATTATTTCAAATTTTTCATTTTTACTAATAGGCACTTGTTAATTTGGTTCTTATTATTTTTCAATTTTTGTTATGATAACAATTTTCTCTCTCTCTCTTTTAGATTAGTACAAAGGTGTCCTGTTACCTCCTTTTTGTTGTCCTTATTTATTTCTAATTTCCTGCACATGATATTTGTGTTTCTTTCTTAATATTCTTTATTTTTGCATTTCGTGTTTAATAGTCTGAGTCTATCTTCCAAACCTGAACTTTATTTATTCATGATTCTTTTAATCTTTATTTCAGTTGTTTTCATTCAATCTTTCTTTTACTTTACCTCTTCCCATAAATTATCATCTATCCTATCTATTTCTTCTCTTTCTTTCTTTTAATTTTTCTACACTCTTTTCATTTTTTCCTTCACTTTGTTTATCTCTCTTTGTAATAACTTTTTAATGCTGATCATTTTATTCCTATTTTTGATAAATGCATCTCTAATACTGTGTATCTCGTTTCTAATCGGCATTTCAATTTTTTACTGTAGATTTATATATATGTAGTTATTATAAAATCGATTTCATTACAATGTTAACATAAAATTATGTGCTTCCAATTTGTTGCTTAGCTTTAATTCTATTTAACATAATTATGTGTGTGCACAACAATGGTGATAGCCTCATTATACACATACACATACAATTTTTAAAATTATAACAAACATGTCATATAATACAATTCATTAATTAATCTCAAAAATGTATCTCTTTGTTTATTTAAATAATTTTATACAATTTTTTCTTTTTTTTTGTAATTATATAATATGTAATTTTATGAAGTTCACATAGGTAAATTTGTGAAAATCTGCTAAGGTATATCAACAGAAATGTGAATAAATTGTCTAAAAAATGTTGCTAACCATTGATGAAAAACAGATATATTGTCACTTATACAGCAGATAAATGTTGCTTTTTGTAAGGTGGGGGTGAATGACAAGTATTTTTGAATTGTGGTTATTTATACACATAAACAAATCACACGGGGTTTTAGTTTGAGGTTCTTCAGGACACAAATTTGCATGCAAGAACAGAACAAGACAATGTTATGGACAATGAAGCAAATGAGCTACGTGAACTACAAAATCCGGTTGGTTTCATAGTAACTAAATATTAACACAAAAGATCATACTACTAAAATTCCCAATTGGTTCTTATATATAATATATTAATATGAAATATGAAGTTGTGATTTCAAATAGAATACAGTTTAGTATAATAGTTACTTATAAGTAGTATAGTGATTAGTATAGAAGTGATTAGTATGATTATAATAGAATACAGTTTAGTATAATGTCATAAATAGATATAATGTATATAAGTAATTATTTTTTATGTAATATTATTACATAATATTTGAAATAGAACTTGAAATTCAAGACATTATTTATGCTTTTGCATTTCTGACATGAATTTATTATTAATATAAATTACATTTTGTTTCATACAAGTAAAAATGCATTTATATTTGATTTACAAATTAATTTTTTTATTTTATTCTCCTTGTGCACACACATAATTCAAATTTTATCTTTATCATTTTATTATATTTTTACTATATATTTCTTTTTGCTTATTCAGAATAATGAATACATCCAGTCTGTGGCACGTTGTTTACAAATGATGCTTCGTATAGATGAATATCGTTTCGCATTCTTATCAGTTGGTGGAATTTCCACTTTGTTGAGTGTATTAACAGGCAGAGTAAATTTCCAAGTACAATATCAACTTATATTCTGTATATGGGTACTTACTTTCAATCCTTTGCTTGCTGAGAAAATGAATAGGTATGTATTACGTATATTATGCAATTAAATTTTTAAAATTACTATATCAAAAATATAATATTAAATTTTCATTATAGATTTGGCGTTATTCCTATATTAGCGGACATATTAAGTGATTCTGTGAAGGAAAAAGTAACTCGTATTATTTTAGCAGTATTTAGGGTAAGTCATTTTATACACAAAATGTTTCAGAATTAATTAATCAAGCAAGGTTTAACAAGAGATAATAAAAGAAACACTTTTTTTTTTGTTTCTCAAATACATACAGAGTGCTGTATTTTAATGTCTCAGGACGATTATCTTGAACGGTACTGAAGTTACAAACAAAATGTTTTAGACGAAAGTGGTAGGATATAGAGGGGATATAGAGAGGGACATATCACAATGATAATTATTTGACCTTGAGATTATCTTGGAAAGCTGTATGAAAATTACGTTTAAATTTTTAAATAGAATCCTATATTTTGCTTAGGCTGTTATCAAGGCATTAACCCTCGGAGCACGGTCTCTCGGGGAACGGTAACGGGTCTCTCGAAACTTCACACTTATATTCCACTAATCATGCTCGAGATTCCCACCCTTACTCCACTACTCCCACAACTCCCTAGAATAACCTACCGTAGATGAACAACGCGGCGAACCAACACCGGGTCGGCTTTGCCTCTAACTTTTTGGTGCAAGATATTATCTAATAATATTTATAATATGAGTAAGTGAGGAGTTAGTTTAAAAAATGTAAAATTTTATAAACATATTTGTTATTTATGTGCACTGGGTACATACAACATTATTATGATTTATTACAATTTCTTTACATGTAAATCGTGAACATTTGTTACCGTTATCATTTCGCGAGGGTTAATATCTAAATTTGACATGTCACCGGTATTATCCAAATGATCGGTTTGATAAGGGCGAAACTGTAGAATTTCTACCTCGTTCATCAGGTTAACGCCTCTAGATCTTTTTATATAGAGCTATTTAAAGAATAAAGTCTTTCACGTTGAGTCAACGACATCTGAAAATATAAAATACAAAACTGTCGAAGCATATCAGAAAATATCGATAGCAATATTACAGAAGTTAGAAGATTCATTTAAAAAGTAAATAAATATCTGTATCGAAGTCAATGATCGAGAATTTAAACATTTATTGGCATAAAATTCTTATCATTGCTATGTCATACATACGTACGTATGCACACATTCAATCGGTTCTTTGTAGAACCACTATAATGTACAAAGTTTGACCATGAAACCTTATGGTGTACATTAGATAACGCTAATGCCGGCAGCATTAATCATCAATTTTAAATGTTAACACTTTGACAACAACTTAAGCAAGATATATACGTAACCAGTGTTTTGAAAACGTCTTGATTCTACAAGAATATATAATAAAAAATATAGGATTCTATATTAAAATTTGAACGCAATCTGCATACAGTGTTCCAAAGTAATCTCAAATAATTATCGTTATGATATGTCTCTATATATCTTATAACTGTCATCTGAAACAAGTTTCGGATTCAGTTATTTCCTAAACTATAATTCGTTTCAAAGAATATTTCAAATGGAATTTACTCTGTTTCAAGGGCTCATCTTATAATGGTTATCAATTTTTACTAGATGAACATACTTCCGAGATTTCAAAGTGAATTCATTGACCTATAATACTTTGGTCTTTGAAGGTTGTTTAAAGTCATTTAATAATGTTGAAAGTTTACCTTTGCTTTACCCTCAGAAAATTGCCCTTTGTAAACTTCGTAAACTTTATTTTATATAAAATTCCACAAGAAAAAGTTTAGTGATGTTAAATCTGGAAACCTGAATGAGAAAGGGATGTTACTTCCTCTTCCTATCCGACGTTGAGGAAACATTGTTTAACACTTTGCGGACGAGCGCCATATATATGCGTTCTGCAGAAGCCATCAGTTTAGCCGTGGAACGCATATATGTATATGTTCGACGAAAACAACTGTTAAGGCCGAGGGATGCATAAATGTGTCCCACGTAAACGCGTCGCTATGGCCGAGAAACACAAATATGTGCCCGCTGTTGCGGCCCTAGGACCCTCACGTCCCAAGTTAAATGGTGGACTGTTTTATGTCCTTATTGCCAGCGTTACTATGGACGAAAATCGCGTTTAAGCAGAAATGAGCGCTGGTAGTTTTGAATGACTATCGTGGCAGCGGCTCGGCCCCACGATTTACTCAAAATCGCTCCGTCCGCAAAGGGTTAAATGTTTCTCGAACACGATGATAACTGTAGGCGGGAGCATCATCATGCTGGAACCACATCTGAAATCTTTGGTTTTGTTATATGTTTATAAATATAAGCAAAAACAATCGCTAGCACAACTTTGTATTATGTTTACATACGAAATGACGAGATAATCTAGGAAGATAATTTTTCGGGACGTTTAATGAAGATAAGTTTCAAACGTTACCTTGAAATCTCAGAAGTACGTTCACCTAGTCAAAATTGATGACTATTATAAGATGTCCCTCTTGAAGCAAAGTAAGTTCCATTTGAAACATTTTTTGTAACGAATAGTTTATAATTTAGGAAATAATTGAATCCAAAATTTCAAATGGGACACCTTGTATATAACTTATCTTAATTTTTACTAACAGATCTATAAAAATTTAAGTTTATATATCTACTAACATGAAATCTGCCATACACTAATTGTTTCCATAGAATTTCTTACGTACATAATATTCTTGTTCATTCCTTAAGCTTTTAAAAGATATATATATATTTTTATACATCTTAGAAGACTATATACAATTTTTTGAAAGACCCTGAAAGATCTTAATTTATTAAAATAAAAAATAATAATAATAGTAATAATAAAGAATAGTAGATAATTCGATAATAAAGAATCCTATGTTCACCAAATCTAAATACCATAAAAAAGCTTTAAGAAGATTCAGACAGAATTATTCGTATAGAAAAAATGAACATTGACAAAATTAAAATATAAATGTAAAGTTCTATAAGAATAATAAATAAGCATAAAAAAAAACTAAAAGATCAATATCTAAGTATCTAGTCAATTTTTTAAAGAAAAAAATAATTATGAAATATTAATAAAATAAATATTATTCATTATACAAATATACTTTATATACGCTGTTCGTACAACTATCATTTTGTTATACTGTCATTTTACTATTTGCAATTTCTTTTACAATTTTTATAGATCATGTTTCGTGAAAGCAATTTGCTATATGTTAATCATAATATCAAAATATATATTGGATCGTATTTTGGATGGATTGACTTAAGATAGTATTATTGGCTTCTTAACACATTGAGTGCCGGCCTCATTCGCTTGTTTCCGAACAATGAGTAGCTAAAGAAAATATTTAAAACTTATACATTTTCTTAAAATACTATACCTTGATTGCATATTCGTCATTCTGTGGACATTTCACTATTACTAGAATCATGGGAATCACTCGAATATTGTAATGGAACAGTACTTGATATTCTCCTTGGGCTCACTGTCCTCGACTTGTATGTCAGAATCTTCTGAATGTATCGAATAATCTGATAGAAGGTCAGCAATATACTCGTTAAAAACTTCACTCATATTATATGGGTAAAAAGTTACAGAATAATAAGACTTATTATATTGTTCAACAAAAAGCGTAAACCTACAAAAGAGGTACTAATTACGGAATACACTGCTTGAAAGTGATTTTTGCTTTGATTGTTTCTGAACCATCGTATACGTTTTATATTCGGAGTATAACATATGCAAATTGATGTGTAAGGCATCCATACAAGCAAAAAAAATTTTCATCATCGTAAGGGCGAGAGTCAAGTGACAAACTTACAAACCCGCATTATCGCGGGGCCGGCACTCAAGCAACAGACTCAGAAACCCGTGTTTTCACGGGACCGGCGCTCAATGTGTTAATAGAATAAAATAAGCTTATAAATAGAATGATGGCGGCTGGCTATGAAACAAGAAAGATTCGCGATGGGCACGCTCTTCTGATCTTTCTTAAAACTGACTAACTTTAGATTTTGATACACTGTCTTTGGCACACTTTTTGAAAATAGACTGCCTTAAACTTTGGACATTCTTAAACTGAAAACAGACTTTCTTGGCCTGACTCGCTCGCGCCCTTGCACCCTTATTTAAACCATTCATTCTGTCCCTATTTCACACTCAGGCTTTCCTTCCTAATCATGCCCCTTTCCCCGCAACCTCGGTAGACCAGGTACTTCAAAAACATGCCGCATTCATAAACTAACTTCCACTCGTCCCTTTGTTCTAAGTTCAAACACTCCCGACACTCCTTCAAGGCCGTACTCATTCCAATCCTACATATATTTCTTTTTGTATATTTGTATCATTGTACATTTTGTACTATTCATAATTCTTTAATGATTAATGATATTATTTATTCTATCAAAACTTAAATGCAAGAATAAAACAACACAGTTGTATTATATAGTAAGCATGTTATTTAAAACTTTAATAAAGACTTAAAAAAACAATTCGTAACTAACCGATTTTTTTTCTCAATAGATATAAATTCTTGCCAAAGAAATAAAGTAATCAATTAATTAATCAATAAATGTAAAATATTTTATATTTTGCTACATAATACTATTTATAATTCTATACATATTTTATTTTCATTATTTTATTCTTCTTTAATGTTTTATAGAACCTAATAGAGAAAGTAGAAGATGGACAAGATGCTAAAGAACACTGTATTGCTATGGTACAATGTAAAGTATTGAAACAACTTTCAATTCTTGAACAACGTAAATTTGACGACGAAGATATCACCGATGATATTGAATTTTTGAACGATAAATTGCAAGCGTCTGTTCAAGATTTAAGTTCTTTCGATGAATATTCCACTGAAGTAAAATCTGGTCGTCTTGAATGGTCTCCTGTTCACAAGTCTGGCAAATTTTGGCGAGAGAACGCTAGTCGACTTAATGAAAAAAATTACGAGTTACTACGCATTTTAGTACATTTATTAGAAACTAGTAAGGACCCTTTGGTTCTCAGCGTAGCTAGCTTCGATGTAGGAGAATACGTAAGACATTATCCACGTGGTAAACAGTACGTTCTACAATATTTCTTTTCTTCACTCTGAAAAATTCTTTGTTGGTGTTACTTTTAAATTTATTCTAGTATAATTGAACAACTTGGAGGTAAACAACGGGTAATGCAACTTTTGGGACACGAAGATCCTAACGTAAGATATGAAGCTCTACTTGCCGTGCAAAAACTCATGGTGCATAATTGGTACGTAACTAAAACACTGTATGTTTAAAAGAAAAATTCAATTGGAATAATAAGAAAGATACTGAGTTACTATAAAATTTTATGTCTAATTTATAGGGAATATTTAGGAAAGCAATTAGAGAAAGAACAAACTGGCACATCAAGTGCATCAGGGGTGAAACCTGGTGCACAAGTTCCAGCAAAAGCTTAAACATGTATATAAACTCTGTAATGCTAAGTTTCGCTTAATGTCTGTATATCTTATCCTTTTTCTTTCTTTTTTTTTTTTTTTTTTTTTTTTTTTTTTTTTTTTTTGTTACCTTTAAATACTTTATATTGTGTCTAAAAATTGATATAGAAAAAATGTTCTCTGCATTGAAGTGATATTACAAAAATTGCTTTGTATATTGATATAGTTATATGTAGATACAAAAAAGCAATATATATTCGAAAAAAATTCGTTTGATTCAAAATGTTGTCAAATCTAATAGATTAGGTAATTATGCATTACTTAAAAGATAATCCGCGAGACAAAAGAGTATATTGCTTATATCGCCTAACTTTCTTCCAAAGCCTTCACAAACAACACTGGTACACTTTAATACATTAACTAATAATAAAAATACGTTTCCTATTTTTAAAATTCAACTAACCAAGGTAAATTTATATATATAATCAATTAGATCAACATTCCTTCTGCAGATTATCTTCTAAAGCATGTATAATACATAACTGTTACAAAGTATGGAATAACGGGATGGACATATTTATAGAATAATGTTATTGAAATTTGTAAGTAAATTGTTTATGGAATGTTAGGAAAACTAAAGTATTATTATCATTAGAATAAAATACAACAAAAGTATATCTGTTAAACTTTCATTGCTGCTTTTTTCATTTTTCGGCAAATGACAATTTCACATTAATATTACAAGATGATAGTTGAGTTACAAGGTATCGAAAGATATATGGTATGTCAACTTCTCTTACAGATTCATTATCGCCACAAAGGCGACATCTCGCGTTGGCACTTAACCCTGATGTACTTAAAGCCATTTCCATTACTGGGCCTAATAATGTTCCACATTTTTGACAAACTAAAGTCTGAAATGTTAATGTTATTATTGATTAAATGTATCTTCACATTGTAAAGAAATATTGATTTATTGGAAGCTTATCTAATGTGACAATTTAAAAGTAATGTTGCGACCGTTTTTTTGTTCTAAATGAATCTACATACGATTAATTTAATATGAGTTAAGAAAAGCAAATGTATTATGTAGAGATAAAAGGAAATCACAATCACATTCATGAATTTCTCTTCCATTTTTTAAGTTTAATTAAAATTTCCTAATATTTTTAAATTCCACGTATCTTATTTTTCGCTAAAAATCAAGCATTTTTGCAAAAATACAAATTTTCAAAAACGGGTGGTAATAAGCAATTTTGCTTGTGGATTTATATTTGGGATGAGAAACTTTACTAAAATCACCTAATGTATATTATAAAATTGAAAAAAGGCAAAATTTGCTGGACAGTGTAATCATTGATATAAACTTCCATATTAATTATTACTATATAATGATGATGATAATGATCTGTAAAAACTACAGCAAATCTAAATATGATACTTAATATGATTTATGTGTAACTTAATCCACTGGCTTTCACAGTTCGTAATCTAAAGATTAAATGTATATTTCATTAATTAAACAAATTTACCGTAGTTTTGTCTGAACAGTGGAAAAGACGATCTTGAAGTAAAAATGAGCAACCGTGAGATATTAATGAATCTCGTTCCATTTCTCCAAATCGAACACCACCACCTCTTCTCCTACCTTTTATAGGCTGTCTCGTCAAAAGATCAATTGGCCCGGTACTTCTAACCTGTAAAAATTGTGAAGCAATATCTATTAAATAATATATTAAATAAAAAGATCAAGTTTAGGTTATTATACAAAATTTAATCTTATACCAACCTGCCATTTATCTGAAACCATGTGACGTAACCGTTGATAATGTACTACACCAAAAAATATATCGGCAGTCATTTCCCTTCCGTCTATTCCTGAGTACATTCTTTCTGTCCCATAATAATTATAACCACCGCGCTCTAACAATTTTCCAAAATATTCAACTGCTGTTTCATCTTCGTTAAATCTGAACGATGTTGCATCGTGCACTAATCCATGTATAGCTGCTGATTTTCCAGCCATTACTTCAATCATCATAGCTATTAAATTTAGATATAAAACATTATAATTCAAATATTTCAAATGTTCGAAATCTTTTTTGAAAATCGATTTTACCTATTGTCATACGACTTGGGAAACCGTGGGGATTAAACACAATATCGGGAATTATACCAGTTTCTGTAAATGGTAAATCCTCTGCAGGCCATTTTTGTGAACAGATACCTTTCTGACCTGCTCTTGAAGCAAATTTATCTCCAACATTCGGATTACGCTAAAATTTGAAATTCTTTTTGATATTGATGTATACTGCCTAAAAGCCTACAGATAGCGATATAATACGGATGAAAACCTATATTTCATTTTACATCAAATTAATTGAAAATATAGAATAAAATGTTTTTACACAAAATGTCGTTTCTAAAAAATGAATTTAATAATTCTCTAAGTATGCATGGATCTAATTAACTATCAAAATTTGTATACATAAATTTGAACAAATTTTAAATTTAATTTTCTCTTAAGAAATGAATAGAGTTTTATTTTATATTTGCTATTAGTTTCTACATATAAAATAATTTCAATCATCATTGCATTACTTACTGTAAGGCACTCTATATAATTTAAAAAATATAAATTGGGAATATACTAACTGGAATACGAAAAGTAATACAGGCTCTACGTGGAATATGATTGTGTAATGTTCCACAAAGTTTTACATTATCAACATAAGCATCTTCCTTTCCATGATATTTACCAGTGACATATGTTGATTGATCAGCATCATAATAGCTATTAAAAAGAACATAGTTTGTGTTGAGGAAAATAAAAAATTATTCAATACAATAAATACATGAATATAAACTTACCAATAATAGATATCACCTTCCGTAATAATTGTACCTGGTATAGGAAGACCATCGACATCTAATTTTTCTAAAAGATCAAGTTTATCAGGATTTCTTGCAAAGTAGCTTTTTTGATCTTTTAAATCTACAAATTCAGATTTATAAATCATTCCATATGCAAAACCTCTATCATATGCTGCTTTGTTTATAATCATTGCATCTTCCATATCATATCCCTAATAAAATATATTATATATATTATTAATTTAATTAATACTTATATGATTAGATTAATGTATACAAAATATCATTTTCTTAAATAAAGCTTTCATTATATATAATTTTTTCAAAATATATATTTTATGAAACTAACTTCATTATGCAAATATTAGATTTATAATATATTTATTCTTGTATTATTTATATATTGAAAAATGATCTAAATACTTTGAAAAAAGGTAAATCCATACCTGTAAAATCTAACCAACAGAGCAAATGTATAAAAACATTCATATTCTAATACTTAAAGATTTTGTATATCAATTTTCAAATTAATATTATACAATAGGATTAATTTCCATTTGTTTATAAGTGCAATATACTTATTAATTCTATATTTATTTAATTTACTTGTTTATGATATATTTATATTTTAATTGTAATCTCATATTATAGATAATAATAGTAACTAATAAACCATTAAACATTATCTATCTTTTTCTATGGTTTTAATATATATTTTGCATATTTGTCAAGTTAATCTACAATTTTTTTTTTTAAATAATTCAAGAGACTATTTTCATCTATTCCATATATGTCTTTTTATAAAGTCTTATATAGGGTGAACCAGAATTCATAGTACAACCGAGCAGAGGAGATTCTACATGAAAAAATAAGAAAAAAATTTGATATAATATTTTTTTACCCGAGGCTCCGTTTTCGAAAAAATCAACTTTAAAGTTCATTCATTTTTGTGAAGGATTTAGTTGCTATCTATTCTTCTATCACAGTTGACTGCCATCCAAGATAGTGCTTACAAACATTATTTATTGTGTGATTAAAGTAATACAAAGTGTTCCTACTGAATATTAATTTTTTATACCTTATTACTATTTCCTATTGCAATACTACAATACAGTACACTATTACAAGTATTGTTGAAAATATCTTCCTCATTGTTGCATACGTTAACTGATATCGTTTTTTAATTCCTTGAATTCCTCCATTACCTTTTGCTTTAAATGTGTAATATTTGAAATATCGTCTTTATAAACTTGTTTTTTGATATGCCTCTATAAAAAAAAAAATCTGGAGGCGTAAGGTTCGCAAATCTTGGTGGCCAACATATTTTACTATCACAGCAGATCCAATATGAATACGTTTGACCTAAAAAAATTTTAACTTCCCAAGGGTAACATTCTTAAGGTAAGGGTACATTCTTTAACAGCAACGGCAATTCATTGTGTAGAAACTATGACTTTTATCGTAAACTGAACTATGTAGTAAACAGAATGTTTCCATCATTGTCAAAGTTTATAAACACTATCTCAGGCAGAGACAACTGCAGTAAAAGAATGAACGTCAACTAAATCCTTCATAAAGATGAACAAACTTTAAAGTCGGCTTTCTCAAAAACAGAGTCTCAGATAAAATAATGTTATACCAAATTTTGTTCTTATTTTTTCACTTGGAATCCGCTCCTGCTCCATTGTACTATAAATTCCAATCCTTTCCTGTATATAATATGGAACATACATACATCATATAACTTATACAGTATCTACTTACTGATTTTCATTACTTTTCCTATTTAAGTTAAGAGATAAATAGTGATAGGAAAACACATTTTGCTTTAAAAGCTACTTCTTAATTGTTTATCATAGATTATCTTTAGTAATGTCTTTTAGAATCTGACACATAAACCTTAAGTCAATGTTAAACTACCCTGCCTTCTACATAACTTTTCTAAAACTAAATTTTTATTTTTATCAATTTTATTAAACTTTTCCAAGTTTAAACTTATAGAAAAGAATTACACAAATATTCTAATTGATCATGACTAGTAATAAGATTCTAATTGTAATAAACACTGTTAGCATTTATATAGAATAAAATGTAATAAATAGAATTAACCTATCAAGTTAAAACTTTAGAGAAACAATATTTCATATGCACCAATTTAATGTTAATATATTGTTTTCCACTTACTGTATAAGAGATAACAGCAACTATCGCATTAATACCCATAGGAAAATCGTCAAGATTGATCTTATCATAATGTGCTGGTCGAAAGAGCGGAGTTGCAGGTGTTTGTAATCTATACAATTTGGTTTCAGACTGTAATTGCCATGTATGACATGGAGTACCCATTGTTTGCTTACCCATCTAAAAAACAGTAAAATTAGATCACACAAATAAAATTTCAAAAATGTTTGTGTCCTCATTCATATATTGATCAATTTTATATAATTTAACAACATCACTAGAATAAGTTGTTTCTTTTATTATGAGACATACTAATATACACAAATAATATGGATATAATTAGAAATGAAATTATTTAAGTATGTTCTATGAAATATAGTTTTTTTTTATAACATTGTAATAACAATGACGATATTGGAAATTTTATAAATATTACCATTTATTTAAATTAAATACTTTTAACAATTTTGGCACCGTCGGATCACCGAAAACTACCACGGTGCTATTGATAAACTGAGCGTCGGTCACTGATGATCTCTATGGCATTCAACATGTCAATATTATTAATGTCGATATCGATATTTTAAATTAAATTCGTTGTTCATATACATTCATTGAACATATATAAATGTTACCATGTATCCATAGGGTTCATATTCATGGAGCAACAACAAATACACATAAACATGTTCTTATTTGTTCATATTTATATAATAAGATATTCAATAAATGATCATCATAAATACTTGTTAACATCTTGCAAACATTTGTGGACATTACCTGACATTGGTACATATTTCGTGGACTTTGATTACAATCTGGCATAGGGATGAGGCTTGCTAAATTGCTTAAAAAGGCTGTTTTTGATAATTCTTGATGTGACGTTAGCTGCAATAATAGATAACATCTTTCTAAATAAAATAATATAGTGAAAAAAAATAGTGAAAAGTAAAATTAGAAAAGTAATTACTCCCTCATAGGCCTCTTCAGGTGTAACGCAGATATCTAAATAAATTTGTTCAAATGTTCCTATATATTCCACTTTTTTCGCAGCTAAATTCATTACTGGCCTCATCATACGAGCTGGACTTGTAAATAAGTATAATCCTGGATATTGTGCTGGTACAGTTTTTTTTGGTACCAGTGCTATTTCCATTGTATATGGAATCTAAATAAATAATGAAATACAAAAATCTAAATTTATTATTGTATTAGAGTAAAAAATAATGACCTTACCTCTTGTCCTTTTATTTTAAGTAATCGCAATTTATCCGTTACCCTTGCAATTATACTGTCGTCTATTAATCCAATTAGTTTTCCATCTAACATAACAACATAAGAGTTTTTCCAGTTATCAGCAATTGATAGTGGAATCATTCCAAGATCCATTAGTACGATAGGAATATTAGCTTTTATTTTTAGATCTGGATGTTTTGTAATGATGCAATTCATTGTTAAATGATTAAGAAGACCACAAGGTGCACCATCGGGTGTATGTACAGGACAGATAAAACCTGTAATATTATAAAAAATGATGTTTTTTTTTATATTAGTAAAGTAAAAATTATTTTTTAATACAATAAAATATTACCCCATGCATCTGGCAATAATTGTCTAGCTTCTGTAGTCCTCATTTCTTGGAAAAAAGAACCTCTATGTATTGCACGAAAATGGCTCATGTATCGCATTCTATTAATATTTTCAGCAACAATCGTCAGTCCTGTACTTTGCATCAATCCTAAACCTGTTGATGATCTTAAATTTCCGGTAGATAAAAAATTTTCCATCTGCGATTCCAATGAGTTTCCATGCTTCATTATATTTAACATTTCCTCTGAACAGATATACAAAAGTTTTAATTACAATAATATTGATTCATGATCTTTAAATTAACTTCCAAAATACTTACGCACGTTTAAGATATACCTATTACCGGCACTTCTTGCACGTTTCAAAATACTCATTTTAAGACCAGTTAGCCAACTGTATAATTTTTCTTTCAATACCTGTAAATATAAATGACCACCTACTAAACATTCCTGCATCATTACTGCATCAGCACCTTCTACAGCACATTTATTATTTGCAAGAGCAAATAGCTTTTTTGTCATAAATATAAGTAAATAAAATTTATCTAATGGATCTTCAAGATGAATTGTTATACACTGTCTGAAAATAATACATATTAATCACATAAATTAATGTATATATATCAGTGTATTGATTAATCTTACTTAATAATAAAGTCACAAACATCGGTATCAGTGGCATCTTGAGGTAATTCAAAAAATTTAATTCTAAATATTCTCCCTATATAAACTTTGCATTCTTCATGACTATTTAAACCCTGTTCGTGTATAGCTCTTAACATATTTAAAATACAACCTTGGTAATATAAATCATCTTCGTATCCAGCTGTTAATGCATTGTAAATAAAAATATCTGGGACATCAACCAAACATTTTAACATCACAATCAGTGGAACATAGTATAAAACTTTTCTACATGAGAACATTAATTTTACAGAACCATCAGTTACATAATGCAAAGTATTAGTCTGTAAAACATATAGTAATTTATAATATACAATAATTCAATTTATGAAGAACAATAAAATATATATAAGAATATATACTAATGATAAACTTTATACATATTATATAAGAATAATAAATTTTATATATACCACTGTAGTATTATCATCCCGTACACTTCTCAAAAGCAAACCAAGATCACTAAACTGTGTGCCACGAGTTTTCCATCCTGATCGTCTAATAGCAATAGGATAATTTCTTCTTGTCATTAATAACATTCTTATAATTCTTTCAAGTCCTTTAATTATAAAATAGCCACCCCATTCTTGCTCATGTTCTCCATGAGTAATTAAATCTTTAGGACCCATTTTATTTAAATGACATCGATTAGACTATAACATTAAATGAAATTGAATACAGTTGAACAATTTATGTTATGTAATTATGCTACATACTTTTATCATAATTGGAATTTCTCCTAAATCTCTTTCAAGAGTCTGTTGCAGTTTGTTATTGATGGACCATCCCAATTTAACTGTTATTTTTCCTTTATAAGTACATCCCCGCTGACGACATTCTGTAGGATAAATTTTATGACTTTTTACACCAATTGTACCTGATGGTACACTAGGCTGATGAATAGATACATCATCAATCCATAATACTACTTTATCTTCATTTGGGAGATGAATATGAACAAGTGGATTATCTCTAACAGCTTCTGATAAACCATCTTCTAGCATGTAATTAAAGGAATCTATATGAGGAGTACCTAAGCTTTGCAACAACTGAAATTTTTTAAAAAGACTTGATTCAATTTTATACATTCAAAAACAATTAAGGTTAAATTGTAAAATATTTACAGGATTTTGCTTTTCTGGTGGTATACCATAATTTTTTGACGTGTTTGTTAACTTCGGTTCAATCAACATTTTTGTATTTGTTAATATTATAAACAAAAATGAAAATGAAATTTAAACATACTACCGCACTACATAAATATACTTTTACGAGATTTCCACACACGTGCATAATGCAACACCACCAACTTATTGCGATCAATTTTTCCTAAAATTAATTGATTTAATATGAATACTGTAATAATATTGTTACATTATTCTGCAAGCTTTAATATATTTATTTTTAACAATATTGATATGTAAATTAAGAGTAAAATTTGAAATTATCTGTATATATACAAACAATAAAACACGCATAAACTATATATTATTCAGGTATCAACGCGAGTGATATAGTAAGGATGAAATCAAAGTTCAAAAAGCAGGAAATATTCTATTTGGGAAATTCTAAGTTAAGTTATCATAAACTGTAATTTAATTTTAATAATATATTTTTTCTCAATATCTTTCTTCGTTGATAATAATGATAACTTTTATACTTTCCTCTACATTAAATTACTAGTTGTCTAGGTTCTGTCTTATATTAAATTCTTATTTATTATACTTTCGTACTAATGTAAAATTATATTTGAACAATTTATACGGAAAAAAAAAATGTATTTTGCAGTCAATCTTTTACCATTGCTAGATGAAGGAATGTATAAAAATATAAGATTTTTTTTATCTAGTATCTTTTGTATAAGTATCTATTATTATAAAAAAATGATTTATTTACAAACTTCAATAATCAAACATGAAAATATGGGAATTCATGAGCAATAAAATATTTATATGCTCCTCCTTTCATAAACAAAGTAAATCATACAAGACAAAAAATAGAACAATATTTGAATATTAATATGAATAAATATAATTATGTTTTTAAATGTATCATTATATTATTTGTATTAACTTTTATATATTAAAACTAGAAGAGTAATTATAAAACTTCTAGAAAAAAAGATTTTTTAATTTAATAAAAAATCTTTAGTTTTAAAGTGTATATAGTAATTACCAAAATTAAAAATGAATAAGATTTTAATAGGATGCTTATGCAGGACCTGAATAAAAAGTCATTTGAAAATGTTAAAAATTTATAATGCGTTGTGTTTGAACTTAATCATGTATGTATTGATTTATTGTAACTATTAATGGAAATGCAAGTTCATATTAACGTTGTCGATGAATATAAACGGATGTTTATTATTTAACAACAGAATATTTATTGTCATTTACGATTTACGAGATATGTTAATATTAACAGAACAAAGTAAAGTTTATAAATAATAGTCCATAATTAAATGTTATTTATGTATTTATATTCCAATTATATTACTTTTATCAGAAATGCATAATTAATTTGACAAACTCTTTGTTTCAGTCATAGACAAATATAGAATTAAGAAACAATTCATATTAAGAACATATTCAGGTTTCAGATTGTAAATATTGTAAATATGGGTCTTTTAACAATATAACTGTAAGAAATACTACAACCATTAAATTGTTATACTCTAAAAGAAATGAAATAAATTCACAATATTTAACTGACATATTGAAAGAACATACACACATATTTATATCAAGTTTTTATAAAATTGAAACGTATACTAAAAACTGATAATATTCAAGCTATATAATTCAATTTAATGAAAATAAGAAATCAAATAAACGAATGATTAATAAGTTGATAGCATATACTATACATAGTACATGCATGTACATATACACATGTATATGTACAGGGAGATTTACTTAAATTAAACATCTAAGTTATTTTTATTACTATGAAAGTTAGGAAAAAATAACAATAGAATGTTTGAATGATTCCAAAGCGTGCATCTGATGGTGACAAAAAGAAGTCCTGTCACAGTCATGTTAGTGGTTTTTTCAAGGACATCGACATTTGTTTGCATATTAACATTTATCTTTTATAGTGCGATGTTATAGTCGGTATGAAAACGAATTCAATGATCTATAATACCATGACCTTGAGATGACCTTGAAAATGAAAAAACGTGTTGACATTTAAAGAATATAGAAACAGAGGAATTTATCTTATTTAACTGAAAATGCTGAAAGTGTTGGTCGCCTACATTAGTATATTTCTGTAGATGATAAGGAAATGTTTGAACTGTATCTTTTGTAATATTTCCGCGAGTTGTTATGTAACATGTATTCTGGATTCTTTTTTCCATATTATCTGTTGTTGCGGGGATTTTGTTATAAATGGTGGATTTTAAAACTTCCTACAAGAAGTACTATAATAACGACAAATGTGACGATCGCGGTGATCAGATAACGATTGCACCACGTCCTATTCGCAAACATGTTACGTTGTATAAGCTTCCGTCAATGAAAAGTGAACCGACAATTTCATTTTTTACAACTTCGCAGTATGAAAAGTACATATTATTAGTATACTATTGAAATGTCAGAAAAAACAAGATAAATTCCTTCGTTTCTATATCCTTTAAATGTCAACACTCTTTTCGTATCCAAGGTCATCTCAAGGTCATGATATTATAGATCATTGAACTCGTTTTCATACCGACTATAACATCGCACTATAAAAGATAAATGTTAATGTGCAAAAAAATGTCGATGTCCTTAAGAAAACCACTAACATGACTGTGACAGGACTTCTTTTTGTCACCATCAGACGCACGCTTTGGAACCATTCAAACATTCTATTGCTATTTTTTCCTAACTTTCATAATAACGAAAATAACTTAGATGCTTAATTTAAGTAAATTGCCCTGTATATATATATAGGGAAATATACTGTTGAAAAAATCGATATTTTGTAAAATACTTCTTATTTTTGCTAAGACATAAATACCAAGATGTAAACATTTACGAACGTGAGACATGTCAAAGATCAACAATATTTGATCTCTCCATGGAAAAATTTTAAAGATCATAGCAACATTTACTCTATGTTAGTCAAAAGATGCATTTATTTATCGGTATATGAAAAAAAAATTTTCATTTCTAACCGCATTACTATATAACGACGCTGTACAAGTTATGCTAATTTTCTAACTTTATGCTTTTTTTTGTAATGAGTTTATAGTCATTGAATTTGTTACATTTTTATGTAATTTTATTGAAAATCAAAATATAACGTTAAATTTTTCTGTTGAATTGCAAATTTTGAACATATAATTTGATCCGAATAACATAATCTTCTACGTTAACATTTCCGTTGATCGACCTCATATTTTTAAACGCAAAGTCATGTCAAGGTCAGAATATATTAGGCCGTTGGATTGACCTTAACATTAACTATAATATTAAGAAATCACAAATACATAATATTATTTTAAGATATCAAAATAATCTTGATTTTTATTGAAGAAATAACTTTTTTAAGAATTTGTGATAATTTGTAGATAATTTGTAATTTATAGCCGTTGAAAGATTAACTGGCTTTTGTTCAAAATAATTTTTTCTCGACTTTTGTAGTATTAAACATTTTGAAACAAATGTAATACGTAATAATTAGGTTCTAATTTAATACTGTTGTATTATTAGAAAAATGAAACACTATTCTGGAAGGAGGAAAAAGAATATCTTTAAATTAAATTTTATTTCAATCTATTGTGTTTTATTTCAAATTAAATAAAATTTAAAAAAACAAAAATATGAACATCTTTTTAATGATATATCATTTGGTATGATATAATGTTGCACAAATTTGATAATATCAATGATATTAACAAAAAATATACAATATAAATTTTATTCGTTTAAAAAGTAAATTTATATAATGTTGCTGACAATTTTCAATAAATGATAATAGAACTGTATAATATCATAATATCAACTCAAATCGATATGAGTAGTCAAAATAGTAAAATTCTATTATAAATTATGTAATAGATTTTTCTTTCCTGTTTGTTATTATTTCTTGCAAACATTTACTGAAACTTGTTATCATTATTCATACAGGCACTGAAATCACTGTCAACTATATATATACAGGGTGTTCGCGTTTTGTCACCAGTTTTAAGACATTTCCGATGGTATAATTAAAAAATGTTTCAAACAAAATTCTTTTGGTATTTAATGGACTATATGTTCCCATATTATGAAGTCTCAAAAAATGCTTTTTACGTAAAAAAGTCAAGGTAACCGTGACTTTTTTAAATGACACAATATATTGTTGATGTGATGGAATTGTTACTAACGTCGAGACAAATTCACCAGTTTATTATATTATGACCTTGAAATGACCTTAAACTCCATTAGCTTATTCGAATGGTCGAAGTGTCCGCGGTCATGGGACACTGCTAATAAAGAAATAAAACAATCTCTCAGCCTTGGGCCGCTCGGTGTTTTAATAAACGAAGAGAATGAACGTCATTTAAAGGTAATAGTATATTTTAAGGTCGTAATATAAATTATAGCAATAATCCTGTGACATCAAAAACATATAGCATCACATAAAACAGCATTTTTTGAGATTTAATATGGGAACATGTAGCCCAATAAATATTAAAAATTTTTGTTTAAAACATTTTTTAATTGCACTGCGGAAATGCCTAAAAAATGGTAACAAAACTTAACACGGATACCCTATATACTTGTATAACATATGTATCTACCGACAACAGCTAAGAAATAATGTAATCAAGAAACTTGCAGTATCAATATTTAGGAGACTAATTTATGTATTGAGAAACAAAAAATATGAATTATATAGCAAACATATACATATGTTTATAAACTGTAAATCTTCTAAGTAAATATTTGCAAAAGTCATAATAAAGTAACATATGTTAATAACAATAAGTTAAATAGAATTTAAGTCATTCAAGTCGAAAATTAGGAAATATTGCAATTTTTTTGTGATATTCAATGCAATTTGCTAAAAACAACGATATATGTAAGATAGTCGTTCCTACATGACAATGACTCTAAACAATTCTCTAAATAAGTTAAAATGTTTCTTATGTATCGATACATGAATATTATACCTAATTAGCAAAGCTAAACCTTTGATCTGAACTCCATTGAACATTTCTACTATGTTGATATGAACTGGGAGCACATTCTATCATCAACAGAGTGGATTTAATGAAAAAGGTTATAAAAATATAATTTGAAATTGGATATTGTGGAAGCAAAAAATATTTATACATTATTGCTTTTTGTAAAAGTATTTGTATAATTGGAAAAAAATATGTTGCCTAACTTTCATTACAAAAGTTTCGTTTGATTTTTTCAATTCAATATTAGTTATGGTCTTTATAAAGCATATATGTAATATACCGATGTATGAAATATTATCTCGTTGTACAATTTCTATTTTTTATCAATATATTTTAGAAAATAAAAACCGTACAATAATTTTCTAAACGACTGTTTTGTTTCTTAAATCTTGTTAATAAATTTATAAATGTGTATAACGCGCATATTGAACTATGTTACTAATTAAACATGATTTCTGTAAAGAATATTATTAGTTTTATATTTTTCATATTTTGAAAGTAATATTTGTTTTTTAACCATTACTTAATTTTCTTTGTAATGTGCATGAAAATCATTAATTCGTATTAGTCTAGAGCCCAAATATGTATTGGTCGGTCAAAGTCATTGAGGTATAAACCGACTATGTTGCAAGAAATAAGAACGTTCTGTTATAAAAGGAAAGGTGAAGAGAGCATATGATTAAAAAAAAGATAATCGCATTAAAGAAGGACATGCGCAGTTAAAAGTGCCATTCATATATATTTCCTTTATGATATTGCGTTAGTTCGTCAAATATATGTATGTATATAAGTAAATATTAGTAAATGGGACTCCTACACGTTAAGTCGATCTCATAGCTTCTTAAAAATAGAATAGTGTCCTTGATGATCGATGTACAATATATGATTAACATAAATTTCTATCTATTACCTATTATTTGATATCTAATATTTGATGCGAAACAACATTACTTTTATACAAAGGTACATTTTCAAATGAGATTTTCTTAGAAATTATTTTCCTTTGTTTATACACAATATTAATTTACTTTGTGTTAAACACGACATACATTAAACTATGTACAAAATTTACATCAAAAATAGTAAACAAAATTCATTAAATATTTAAATATACAGCAATCATGTATAATCTCTTCAATATCTCTTCTGTAAAAAAATCATCAAATAATTACTTTGTAAAACAAACTAATTTTTCATAAATGAATGAAAGAAATATCGGTATTAAATGAAATATTGTTATTACAATTTAAAAACTTATATTACTTGAAATAATCTAACATTTCTTAGATTTCTGTAAAATTAAAAACCACAAAAATCCGTTAAAATTAAATAACATAAGGCAATTTTAATAAATTTCCAGAAACATTCAAATGATTTTGTTTGGTTATTTTCTTATTTATTTTCTTATTTATTTAACATTAGTGTATACAAACATAATTTAGGAACAAAGTACTTATATATCAATATCGATTTATTTCTAATCTATTATTTAAAAAAAAGTCGTAAAATATTAGGTAAAAGATCGTAACATCATGGATAGATTAACGTGGCATATACTTTTGATCGCAAGCGATGCATCAAAATATAGTTCGCGACAAGATACTGAAATTTATGCAGACGAACAGAGTTAACAGCACTGGTACTTCAGTAGCTTGTTATTCCTATAACGGTAAAAACGTGACAGGTACAGTAGAAGTGAAGCAGCCAGAAGGAAGGGAAACCTGCGCTGCCCGCCTGCTTTCTTGGGGCCATGATTGGTAGTGCTTGTTAGTATCCGTCTAACTGTTGCATTGAAAACGTCGCTATTTTGTGCCCTTCTACATTTTCTTTTTTAGTTTCTTTTTTTCAAGAGGACAGTGTTATTACGCAATTTGCATCACGATATCTCTGAAAAAATTAAGAACATAGGTCCTTTGACGAGGTGAGTCACCGTCTATAACTATTTTATAAGATGACGCGATCTTACCATAGATCATTCTTTCATCTATCTATTGAAGAAATTATAACAAATGTATTTTCTTTTTTCTGTGAGTGGAAATTTAACAAATTAATAAGTTATTAAAAACTTTTTTAATACATTTAATTGATACTAACATATTTTCTATATTATCCGGACGCACAGTTAAATCATAAAATCGGTACAAATCTGTAGCGTAAATCGGGTTTTGGGGACTTATAAAATGTAAACTTCTAATGTACTACTTTCTACTCACCAAGTACACTCCGTTGGTCAAATGATTTTAAAGAATATATAACGTTTGGTACATATATTTCTTGCAAAGAAAAAAAGGAATTTTTGATGAAAAATAATAGTTTTATTATGCTTTTACCTCATTCTAACTTACTTTGAAGTTTTTAAATAAAGTAAAATAGAATGAATAATTTAAAAATAGATAATATAATTAAATTTCAAGGTATATTTTGAAAGTATCACTATTCTCAAATATATCATTCAAATATATTGCTAAAAATTAAATAATATTTCGTCGATGCGATTTTGAACTTGTTAGTAATTTAAATAACTTTCCTTTTATTAAAACCTTTTTTCTATTTATAATAGTAATATAATATTTCTACAAATTAATTTTTACTGAAAATAAAAAAAAACATGCTAATTAAAAAAAACAAAACAAAGAAAAACAAAAAATATGATAATAATCTAACGGGAAACCTAAATTTCGTTTAATAATTTGTTTCTGCAATACATCACGCAAGTTACCAATGTTTTATATCACAAGTAGAAAATGATAGATTGAACGCAAGATGTCAATGCAAAAATTCTCATAACAGCAGCATATGGCAGAATTTATCGCTTTTATCCATTATTGATTTGTTAATTAATTATTAAGTTAATTAAATATCCAAATATAAATACGCGATATTCTACAAAATTATAGATATGTAAATAGTATAATTATAACATAATGAATTATGTGTTCTACTATTTAGATACACAATATTATTGATATTTATACATATATCGGAAAAAAAATTAATTAATATGCGGTTATCATACATCATGAATTCTGTATATACAAAGAAATGTGATAGTATTGTAACATTAATACTTATTTGTATTAGGATTGTTACAATACAATTTTATAAATCAAGAATTTATGTAAACAATTTTTATTCTATTAAAGTAAATTATCGTAAAACATATTTAACAAAATAAAATTTATGAAAAGGTAAAATACATAAATTTATAAAACATATTCGAATTAGGTATTAAATGTTGTGGGTGGATTTTATTATTATTGTTTGTAAAATACAAAGTAAATACTTTTTCATAAAGTTTTAATGAAAAAAGGTAAAAAATTGTATTGTAATTTCGTCGAAATGACGTTCTTGACACTTGGTTTTCCCTTGCTTTATTCACGCGATTATGTAAATAAATCATCGAGTAATTGTCAGTGGAAAAACCGGTATGACTATTTTAAGTGTTGATGATTATCAAATTATGTAATAAAATAATTATTGTTTGTATTTATAACAAAGATATAGAATTATATAATACTTAATCTCACAATACAAATAATTTTTTATTTTTATCACAGTACAAACTAAATAAAAATACCTCTACCATAAATTTACTGTAATAAAATAATAATTACTGGTAACAATTACTATAATTTTATTAAATTAAAAAGACATGTAAGTCATTCCTTTGATGTAAATTAATTGAAAAAATATAATTTTTTGTAGGGACTAAAAAATGGATTGGCAGTGGTTCCATATTGTTTTTTTATTCAGCATAATTCTAAATGTGACTGCAGAATCGTATGTATATATGCATTTTAGTTATTTTAATAAATATTGAATTAAAATTATAGATATAATAAATACATAAGAAACATTATATTATAAAACATTTTATAAAATTAATTATTTAAAATATTTTAATAATTAGATTACTTAATATATTTTTTTAAGATATTATAGCATAGTAGCTCCAAAAATAGTACGACCTGATTCAGAATATCATGTAGCTATAAGTACTACTGGTGTATCAACACCATCAACAATATACATTGAGTTAACTGGATTGTTTGATAATGGAGAGATATTTAATGTATCTCAAGTTACACGTGTACAACCATATACTACAAGAATTTTACGATTCGAGGTAAATGTATTTACATTTGTTAATCTTTTACATATTAGACATATTTTATACAAATTTTAGATAGGTGATATTGTTCCTGGTAAATACCAATTAACTGCACGTGGTTTGTCTGGAATAGAATTTTCAAATTCAAAGCCAGTGGGTTATGTTCCTAAAAGTTATTCAGTGTTTATTCAAACTGACAGAGCAATTTATAAACCAGGAAATAAAGTTATGTTTCGATGTATTTTATTGAATTCCAGACTCAGACCTGCACTTGAAAGATTAGTAGACATTTATGTTACAGTAAGTATTTTTAAATAAATACTGTATAATACATTTTTGAATGTACATTATATTATTATAGGATGGAAAAGAAAATAGAATTAAGCAATGGATTCGCCCACCTGTAACCCATGGAATTTTTAATGGGGAAATTGAATTGTCTGAGTTTCCAGTTTTAGGTATTTGGAAAATCACAGTAAATGTTGGTGATCAAACATTTGAAAAAGATTTTGAAGTTGCTGAATATGTATTACCTAATTTTGAAGTAACAATTGAGGCACCTAAACATTTTACATTTAAAGAATCACAAATCACTGCAACCATCTATGCCAAGTAAGTGAATTCTAATAATTAGGTAAAGTTATATTTTTTTAAGTTTTGAAACTATATAATAGATTAAGTTTAATTTATTTCTCTTTCACAATTATAACAGTGTCATTGATGTTATTTAATGCATGATATTTTAATACTCTCCTAAAAAATTTGACAAAAATTATTTATTTCAAAGTGCAAATCATTTAGGTATACTTATGGCAAACCAGTGAAAGGAGAAGCAACTGTTACAGTTTATCCTGATATTTTTTCTGGTGTTATACAACCAATATATCAACAACCTGTACGAAAAGTAATTCCTATAGATGGAAAAGTGATTGTTGATTTTAACATTCATGATGAATTGAGGTATATATATATATATGTTAACAAAATATTATTATATATTTTTCAAAACACAATGTAATTTAATCCTATTTTTTATAGATTAACTGATGAATATGAAAGACCTGTTATGATTGATGTTACCGTAGAAGAATCTTTAACTGGCAGAAGACAGAATACTTCTACACACATAACATTACATAAGCATAAATACACAATGGATTTAATAAAAACATCAGAATATTATAAACCAGGATTAAAGTATACAGCATTTGTATGTAAACATTTATTCATGATATAATTTAAATTTGAATTTAACAATATATGGACAAAATTTTTATAGATAAAATTAACATATCATGATGGAACACCAGTAAGAGATAATAAAAATCCTGTTACAATAAAATATGGATATACTTACATTACTGATAATCAGTTCACATATACAAATATTAGTGGTATGTTGGATGAAAATGGAATGATAAAATTGGATTTTTACCCACCTAAAACTGATGATAACATTTCATATCCTTTAAACATCGAGGTAAGTTATAATACAATATAATAACAAAATATGAAAATACTAAAATAATAATAAAAACAATAATTTAACTATCACTATTAAAAAATTGTTATAAATAGGCTCAATATTTAAATCTTCATGAATGGTTCCCATCAACAAACCAAGCCATGTCTCAGAATAATGAATATATACAAGCAACTTTGAAAACTGTTAAACCTATGGTATAGTCATTTTTATTTCATTTAAACTATTTTGGATATATTATGGTCAATATTAAGTATGGTAATCTTTTATAAGGTTAATCGAGATGTAGAAATAGAAGTAAATTCTACAATTCTATTGAAATACATTAATTACGAAATATTTGGACGCGGCGATATTTTGGATGCAGGTTCTATATACGTACAAAATAAACATACGACAAGTTTTAAGTAAATATTTGTTAATTTCTTATTACAAAATAATCCATTTTTTTCATGAATTGCTTATAAAACATGAAACATATTTCAGATTCTTAGCAACATATGTTATGGCTCCTACTGCACATGTAATCGTATATTATGTAGGAAATGATGGAGAAATCATTGCAGATGCTTTGGATATAGAACTAGAAGGAGTACTTCAAAATTTCGTAAGTTAATTTTCTAAAAAATTTAATTATAGGCGATAATAAGCTTAAATATTAATATGTTTTTTTATTTAAGGTTGATATCAAAATGGCACCCGAAGAAGTTGCACCAGGAGAAAATGTCAATTTAGTTATTACCTCAAAACCAAATTCATATGTTGGGTTATTAGGCGTAGATCAAAGATCTATACTTTTAAAATCTGGCAATGATATTTCATATGTGAGTAATTTAATAAATAATATTTGTCGATTCGAATCTTGTTATAATGAAAAATAATTATAATATATTTTTATTATAGGAGCAAGTATACAAAGAGTTAAAATCGTATGATAATGTAAATCAGTCGCCTTATATGGACTCAGTTTTCGATCGATTTTTATGGAGTCCTGGTTCAGCTACAGCCAATGATGTTTTCAGAGTAAATAAATTAGTTCTATTATTTAGATTCTTTTCTCCATTTTTCATTAAAAATGTTAATCTGAATATTTTTTAATAGGAATGTGGTGCTATCATCATAACAAATGGATATGTTCATGAAAATTTACCAATTCGTGAGTGAACTGCATTTTATATGGCTTATTAAATTTATTACTAATAGTACCTATCTCTTACATGTGATACTAAATATTTTCTAATACCATAACATATTAGTCAACGATATTTTATTCATTTGCAATGTAGAGTAAGAAGAATGTTCTTAAATCTAATTTTTCATATAATACTTACTATCAAATCTTTAGTTAATCAGATCACGTATTTATTACTTAACAAGGCTTATGTCTGTATAGTATACTACAGATCTGGTTTAGCGCACTCCTTAAGCGCACCAGCTGCTGGAAGTTTCAGTTCGATTGCATTACCATCAAAGAAGACGAAAATACGCAAGAATTTCCCTGAAACTTGGCTTTGGCAAACGCTTGATGCTGGGTAATGCCATTGAAAATTTTTATCTGCTGAAAACACTCTGCATTATTATTAAAACAACACCATTGATATAACTCATACATTAAATAAACATAAATATTACTGTGTATTAACTACTTAAAAACATTTAACATACTATATCATTTTTTAAATAAAATTACTAATATTTCATTAGCAGTTTTATGTAATTTAATGCTATGGTGGTGGATTTATCGGAACTTATGTTTTCTGCAATTTAATTATCTAATTATATCTAAGAATATAAAACCACTATTATTATAGAACATAAAATGTAAAAAATAACGATATTTTAAATGAAATGTACAAAAAAAGGTCTCCAGTAGTGTTATATTATTTTTTCTTATTCCCTTGGTTGTGCTGATATAATACAATGTCTAGAATTGGATTACAGAACAACCGGGAATACTGGAGGGTAGAATAACAGGCTCACCTCATGGGGCATCCACACTTCGACCAGACCTTGGTCCACCTGTAACGCACAAACTAGCAACAAGACCACCACTGGCAGGTCCTTATGCCTTCTCTCGCATCCCACCTCCTGTTTGGAATAAGCCCCGTGTATTCCTAATGCATGACATCTTAAACACCTGGCTTTTTACAAACTTCTCTGCAGGGTATTTATCTCAAATACTTTCAGTTTTTGAAGCTTATATACACGCTTTGTATACATTATTTGATAAGTGACGTTCATGTATCATGCTTTTTTGTATAAATTATTTCTATGTAAATCAAAGCTGGAATATTCTGGGTGTCCTTACATAACTGGTATACATAGTCACCAATAGAATATATTATTGCTAATTTCTATAATTTCTGTATTTTAAATTACATTTTTTTATATTGTACCATTCTTCAATCATTAGGTCTTTTATATTTTATAAAAAAAACATTTAATTTAAAAAATGTGAAAGAAATGCATTTATTATCAAGTATTATATATATAAAACATTTATGAACAAAATATTATATTAAGAAATAACTTTTTTATAAACATTGTCAAAAACATTAAACTTAGTATTATGTACATAGTTGTTTCTTAATAATTCAATTCAATAAAAAATAGATATTATTAGAAAATTAATTGGAAATTGAAAATAGGTATGAAGGGAAAAATGAGCTGAAAAGGAATGTACCTGATTCAATTACATCTTGGGTACTTACTGCATTTTCTATAGATGATGTTCATGGACTAGGTCTTATAGAAGAACCACGAAAGGTAATACAAAAATGATTATGTAAGTAATCTAAAAATTTACATAATACAAATGTAAAAAAAAAAAAAACAAAATTTAACTTTTTCCAGTTAAAAGTTTTTAGACCATTTTTTATCACTATGGATCTCCCTTACTCTGTGATTCGAGGAGAAATTGTTGCAGTTCAAATAGTAGTATTTAATTATATGAATAAGAATGTTATGGCTGAAGTTTTATTAACAAATGAGGGTCAATTTGATTTTGCAGAAATATCCAATGAAGTTCAAGATATACCTAGTGAGATTATATTTTGACATAAAACATTTTTCACAATTTATACAATATAATAAATTATTAACAATTTTTTAGAATTAGAATTATATCGCAAGAAGAAAGTAGAAGTGAAAGCTAATTCTGGAAGTAGTGTGTCCTTCATGATTATCCCACGTGAATTGGGATACATTACAATTAAGGCTACTGCAAACAGTATATTAGCTGGGGATAGTCTTGAACATAAACTGCTTGTTAAGGTACGAAATTCTTATATATTTATTTTTTATAACTGAATTTTGTTATCGAAATAAAACTTTTTACATTAATTAATGTACAGGCTGAAGGAGAAACACAATATATAAATAAAGCTACATTCTTAGATCTTAGAAGTACAACAAGTATGTCAACCAATATCACAATTGATATACCTAAAAATGCTGTATCAGATTCTGAACACGTTGAAATATCTGCAGTAGGTAATGCTCTAAAGTTATTGAATTTCATTATTAAATTTAAAAATAAAAGTTTCAGTTTTACTACTATTTTCAATGCTCCAAAAGAAAAAGAATATGTATTTTAATTGAATTTCAAATTCCAATAACAAAGTTACAGTAGAATATTCAATTATAGAAAAGTAGTACTTCTACTTAATTCTTAACATTTTGATGTTTCTTTTCATCTGTTTTATATATCTTTCTTCATAATACAAATTTTACTTTTGTCAATTATTAATTTATCAATGGTTTACATAGCATAAAATGTATTAGTGTATTAAAATTGTATTAAAATTTTATTCATACATTTATATTCATTAATAATATTTTTATCAGGTGATATACTGGGTCCAAGTATTTTGAATTTAGCAAATTTAATTAAAATGCCATCTGGTTGTGGAGAACAAAATATGTTAAACTTTGTTCCAAACATAATGATATTAAATTATCTCAAAGTAAGAGACTGTACATAAAAATAATTATATACAATCGTAAAGATAGTCGTTAAATACTTATTTATACTAAAATTTCTTTATAGAATACAAATCAATTAACGCAAGCAGTACAAGGCAAGGCTCTTCGGTACATGGAAATAGGCTATCAAAGGGAATTAACTTACAGACACAATGATGGATCATTTAGTGCATTTGGCATGTCAGATAGTAAAGGAAGTACATGGTATATAAGTATTTAGTTATTTAATTACATTCATAAATATTGTAACATTTTGTATTATATTAACATTTTATGTGGTAGGCTTACTGCTTTTGTAGCAAAAGCTTTCAAAGCAGCTGCTACATATATTCCAGTTGAAGATAGAATAATAGATGAAGCTTTGCAATGGTTATCAAATAATCAAGCACCTAATGGAAGTTTCCCTGAAGTAGGAACAGTTAGTCATCGAGATATGCAAGGTGGAGCTGCTAAAGGTCTTGCATTGACAGCATTTACTCTCATTGCTTTTCTTGAAAATGCAGTAAGTTCAATTATGGTTAAATTAGTCACTATTATAAATGAGATTCTATTATAACTGCATTTTTATATTTTATGTTATAGGTCTCTAATGGAAAATATAGAAATACAATAAACAAAGGAATTGATTATATTGTTCGAAACATAAATGATTTAGACGATGTCTATGCTTTGAGTATATGCACATATGTCTTAAATTTAGCCAAACATCCCTATGAGAATGCAGCATTTAATTTACTAGAATCTAAAGTTGCAACAAAAAAAGATATTAAATGGTGGAGTAAACCCATAGCAATAAATGATAAAAATCCATGGTATCATTCCCTACCACGATCTGTTGATGTTGAAATGACATCTTATGCTTTATTAACTTATCTAAGCCGTAATTTAGTCGTTGATTCTATACCCATAATGAAATGGCTTGTTAAACAAAGAAATGCTGAAGGTGGTTTTGCATCTACACAGGTAATTATTACAAGTACTAAATTGTGTAAATGTAACAAGTTCATATATCATTAACAATTTTTAGGATACAGTAATTGGAATACAAGCTTTAGCAAAGTTAGGTGAAAAGTTAGTAACAAAAAATAATGGCATTTCTATAACATTTATGTATGAAGGAGGTGGACAAAGTCAAATAAATATAAATCCTGACAATTCTATGATACTTCAAAAACAAGTGGTAAATTTAAATTACATTTAAATAATAACTGATCATTCTAAAGAAAACAATTGAAATATGTGTTATGGATAATTAATAAATGATTCTAATATCTATTATTTTTTAAGCTTCCAAGAAAAACACGATTAGTTAATATAACAGCTACTGGAAATGGATTTGCTTTAATTCAAGTTTCATTTCAATACAATTTAAATGTAACTGGAGCATGGCCACTCTTCACTTTAGACCCTCAAGTAGATAAAAATTCCAATGCCAATCATTTACAACTTTCAATTTGTTCTGGGTATGTTACACTTTATCTGTTTAATATTTATAGATAATATTTAGTTTAACATTATACATTTAATACATATTTATTACTAGATTCGTTCCAACTAAAGAAGCAAATGAAAGTAATATGGTTGTGATGGAAGTCAATTTACCTTCTGGTTTTACTGTAGATAAGGAATCATTACCTAGTCTCGAAGTGTCACAAAATGTGAAACGTGTAGAAACTAAAAATGAAGATACAGTTGTGATATTATATTTTGATGAGGTATGAAAAAAATATATTTATATTATTAAGCAATTTGAGATTAAAGTTAAAGAGAATAATATATTATATTATAGATGAATCGACAAGAATATTGTCCTACAGTATCTGCATTTAGGACACATAAAGTGGCAAAACAGAAACCAGTACCAGTCACTATATATGATTACTATGATTCATGTAAGTTATTTAAACATTATATAGATTATTTTATAATATATGATAATAACAAGATATATTAGAAATAAGTTAAGGGAGCAGAACAGTTTGACATGCTTAAAAATTAGTGATATTTTTAAAAAATACCAGAGAAAAAGTAATTGCTTAATTAATATAAGCTTTTGTAAAAAGCTTAAAAAACTAACTTAAACTTTTCAAAAAAAAATCTCATATTTAGCTTTGTGACGTCATCATTCTGAAGTAATTTTTTTCAATATAGCCTTTCAAATGGCATTAGTGACATAAAAGAATCAAAAAGGACTTGAAATTATAACATATTCCCTAGACATTGACGTTCGAATATTTTAATTTTTTTGAAAATTAACAAAATAGCAGTTATTTATAGTTGATAGACTACTATCAAGCCTATTCTCTGGCACGGTTGATAGACTAGATCTACGGGTGATTCGACCTCTTTTAGAGTTTTTAAACGATACGATTAGGGGTGTTTTAATCATTTTTCGTCAAGTGTGATGCATAATGCAACGGCTATGATTTCATGATTAAATTCATAGTGTCCATATTTCATAAGATACTGAAAAAGCCTTTATGGAAAATATTAGCAGCAATATAAACAGCAATTTTCGCGTTTGTAATATTGTTAAATAGACTTTTTTTGGACCTAAATGCTAAATAGTATTATTAAAATTTCGTTTTAATTTTGGGTCAATCCACACAAAACAGACCAAAAATACACATATATAATGTGGACTCCTCAACTTTTCTGATACTACTATCTATAAAACCGGTTCCGTTCTGATAAACCGTCACGTCAAGTCATTATACACTTGCCGATGTGTTGTACTGCACGCAAGATCGCGAATCGGTTGTGACTTTTTTATATCCAAAAATAATTTATTTTAAAGGGTGGAACCTTTCATATATTACTTTTAGAACTTCAGACTAGTATTTAAGGCAAAAAAAAAAAATCGATTTTTTCAGAATTTCAAACTGTCCTGTCCCCTTAATGTATTATTTTGAATTTTAATTTATTAATTTTATAATATTTATTCTACAAATTTTTATTTGTCAATAATTTTATTTAATCCAATTAGCAAGGAGAGCAAGAGTATTTTATGAACCAAGAAAAGCTACACTTTGTGATATTTGTGAGGATAAAGATTGTGAAGATTTATGTGTTTCACAACCTGGTAAACAAAAAGATTCTCCGCAATCTACTGCTTCATATTTATCAACCTGTATATATTTACAATTACTATTTACTTTGTTTTATGTTACTTTGAATGTCTGTAACTTTAGCTTTTCTTAATAATTCTATGTAACTTTTTTATAAAGTACAATGATAAAGTTTTGTATAAACAAAAATTTGCAACCAAAGTACATTATATGCAAGGATCAAGCTTCTTTACTGCTGAAGTACTAAAATCTATTTAAATGATTATTATTTTAATTTTAAGTAATCTAATATTGAACTACTTGTAATTATTGTTCAGAATTTGTTAACTCTATCTTAAACAATGTACTAAATACAGTTAAAAATATTGCACTTTATTCAATCAAATGTTCACACATTTTTGTTATATTCTGATATTTTTTATATAGAATAAATATACCTTATTGTTATTGATAACATGTTAATATTATCTTTTTATTTATTTACAACTGAAATCTTATGTAAAAGCAATAAAACATACCTCTTTTTCCCATTCTATTATTACTAGTGAAATATTTTTAATATACAGAAGAAAATTTTTTCTTTATAATTATATAATTTATAAGTTAATTATATAAAAATATTAATAAATACTTAAAATATAAATATTTATTAATTATACCGTTAAACCATATGTATTATTAAGTTTACATAACCTCGTATTGATAGAAGGGATAAATCTCGCTTAAAAATTATATATGATAAATTTTGTCATTTGTCAACGTCACATCCGTTTAAAGTATTAATATTAATATATGTTGCAATAATAACGTAAAATTGATGAAAAGTAGTTCATATATTAACGAACGGATGCAATCGCATCAACAAGAAACGTCAAATTGTGTAATTTAATATAACCTCGAATTTTGTATAATGATAGTAACGAAAACTAATTATTAAAAAATAATGGATAAAATTTTAACAAATGCATTACATATTAGCCGACAATTAGCACGTATATCTCCGGCAACGTATCAGTATTCAAAGTAAATTAACAACCTTTAACGTTAATTTATTAAAGCGTAAGTACAAAAAATAAACAAAATTTTAATAATTCATTATATTATATTACAGATTTTTTAAATGTTGTGCAGTACGTATGTATTCAAATTATAATAATCATATATTAAAACCATATTTGCTTTCTTCTACAAAATCATTTAATTTTATACAAAAATGTACAATGTTCATACAAACACAAGACACACCAAATCCCAATAGTTTAAAATTTTTACCTGGAGTTAAAGTGTTAGAGCAAGGTCAAACTAAAGATTTTCCCAGTGCTATGGATGGATATTGTTCACCACTTGCAAAAATGTTATTCCGTATTGATGGTGTAAAGTCTGTATTTTTTGGTCCTGACTTTATTACGGTAACAAAAGTTGATGAAGATGTTGAGTGGAAATTATTAAAGCCAGAAATATTTGCTGTCATAATGGATTTTTTTGCTTCTGGTTTACCTATATTAACTGATGAACAGCCTGCAACAGACACTCGTAATGTTCTTTTTTGTTCATATACCTTGAAATAAAATACTTATATAGTTTATATAATAGCTTATGTATCTCTTAATTGAATGGTATTTTATACCTTATTCAACAAATTTCTATATCATAATTAATAGTTTCTTATTTATTTTAGAAATTAATGATGATGACAGTGAAATAGTACAAATGATAAAAGAATTGTTAGATACTCGAATACGACCAACAGTACAAGAAGATGGTGGTGATATTGTATTTATGGTATGTAATAAAATTCAATTTTATATTTTAGTTATAAAATAATATTTTAATAGACATTGAAATAAGCTTTACAAATCCAAGATCGTTAAAAGTATATTTCTTCATAAGTTAAAACAAGTTGTTATTAACATAAAATTAACATAATCTTTGCAGAAAGATTACAATTAATTGTCACCGATGTTGATTAATATTTCTATAAAATATAGGAACTATAAACAAAAATTTGAATATTTGCATTATAACAAGTAACCTATTTTTAATTTAATCTAAAATAGTAGTTATATTTTAAAACAAATTTTGTAATATACATTTTTTTGTTAAATATGAATATAACATAAGCCTATAACTAATATTAGCTTATCCTGTTTTTTTTGTAAAGTTGCTATTAATTTTAGAAAAGCAAATTATTAATATAATATTTCTTATATTTTTTATACATCCAATTATAGGGCTTTGAAGATGGCATCGTAAAATTAAAAATGCAAGGTTCTTGTACAAGTTGTCCAAGTTCTGTAATTACTTTAAAGAACGGAGTTCAAAATATGATGCAATTCTACATTCCAGAAGTTCTTGGAGTAATACAAGTAGAGGATGAAACTGATAAAATTGCAAAAACAGAATTTGAAAAGTTTGAACAGAAGATTAAAAATTCTGAAACTAATGAAACATAGATTTAATTATTGTTTAGTAATATGTAAAAGCACTATTGTTTAGTAATATGTAAAGGCACTATGTAAAGATAAATGAATTAAACGTTTGTTTCGTGTCTTTTTTCTATTTTATTTTATCTCAATATAAAGTATTTAACGGCTAGATACAGAAACTTGCCAAACACGAATAGTACTGTCGGAATAACCGGCAAAGAGTGTTTGTCCATCAGTAGACCACGCTAAAGACAGACAATTAGGTGGTTCCGCTTTACTTGTTGCAGACACAACCTCTGGTTTCAATTCTTCAACCATTTCTTTGGTTTCAAGATCCCATATCTTTATCCAAGGTCCAAATGCAGCACAAAGCCAATAGCGGTTAGGACTAAAGCAAAGAGCAGTTATAATGTCATTATGGTCTAAGGTGTGAAGGTGCTTTCCATCATTTAAATCCCATAACATAGCCTTGCAATCCTATAAATGAAAAAATAAACTTGTTAATAAATTCGTGAATAAATTCCTAAATAACTAGTAATAAAACATTAATGTTAATTCAATCATTTTGTAGTCGATATTGATCATTAACTACATTAATGCCATATGAAAAAACGCTGAATGTACGTTTTACTATAGATAGAAATGTTGTATTTCTCAAATGAAGTAGACTTCCGTATAACATACATTCCAATACACTAAAAAAATTGCAATTGTTTTCATATAACGCGGTTTCTCGTACAACTTGATTAATGTAATAGTATTTATCAGGTTTTGTTAAATAATTAAAACTACATGATGAATTTATTAAATTATTTCTTTTGCCGAATTTATGCGAAACAAAGAAGTTTGATTTACATGCATTAATATGTATTTTTTTAAAATAAATAACATACATATTTGGAAAAAAAGCTACCGTAATACGTAAGGTATAAAAAACAAAAATTGATATGATGATAGTTATTTCAATACATTACTCCATCTTATTCGTGTTTTTCTATAACGCGAATTCGTACAACATGTAACTTATTATACGGGAATCTAATGTAACTATAATTTTATTAAAAATACAAAATTGAAGCAATACATTAAGAAGTATAAAAAAAACTAAAAATTAAATTAAATAATATTATATATTATTTTCCTAGTATATACCTTGCCACCAGAAGCACAAAGTGAACCATCAGGAGAAACAGTAACTGTATTAAGATATCCAGTGTGCCCACTGTGATTAATCTTCAATCTGCAGTTCGTTAAATTCCATACCTACAAATTTTAGAATGACTAGTTAAAAGCAAAAACAATTGAAATTTTATTAAGCAGCTTGTTACTTAAAAAATCAGTCCCATATCCGCATGCATTCATGGATATCATGTTTAATAAAATTATATACATCATGTTGAATTATTAAAAAAGAAGACACCATTTTAATTATGAAGCTTAATTGAAAGCTTATATCTTGATCATAATGATATCGATTCGATATGTCGTAAATTCATAGTTTCCAAGAAATTAACAAAAGACCTTTGGTACTTATATATTAAATATTGCCTATACATATAGTCAATGTGTACATAGACGTAGCCAACAAGGTAGCCACTTAATGTTTCGTCTGTTGTTCGGTCTATGTAGCAGTTCGCCTACTGATTCCTGAATCAGTTCTCAATACTAATATAACAAAAAATAATACCAACTGTCACATTAATTTAGAATAGATTTAGTTAAATAAATATTTCGACTACATTACACAAAAACATTGGCTACATTCGTTTACATAGTCACATATATATTTATATGAAACAGAATATAGTAATACTAATATGTTTTTTTTACTATCTTACGAACTATGAATTTATGGTACATTGTCTCAATAACTAAAATGGAGTCAAGAAAAATATTAATATTCTATACAATGAACGTACCTTAACCAATTTATCCCAACCTGCGGAAACAATGATAGGATTTGAATGATTTGGAGAAAAACGCACACAGCTGACCCAATCTGAATGTCCTTCATCTTGAATAGTGTATTTACACTCAGCCAAAGTATTCCATAATTTAATTGTTTTATCTCGAGAACCAGAAACAATTTGACGATTGTCCACAGAAAAGGCAACGCTTAAAACATCCTATTAACATAAGCATTTAATTTATACATTTCATTTATTATAAATAATATAAGTTTGCATATCAACTGTAATCAATACTTACAATACTATATACTTAATTGCCCACCTCTTCTATTTATTAAATATAAAAAAAAAATATATAAAAAAAAGCTTCAGTACGTTTTCAATCACTCATGTAGTTAAATCTTCTGCCAATGGCATTCAATAAAAAAAATTGAAAAAAAAAAGCTTCCATATATCTCATGAGGAGTGATCACCATAGATCAGAAGGAAAATTTCACACCTTGGTATGATCTTCAAATCTTCTTGTCGTACGTCCTGCAGCTAAATCCCAAAGACGAAGAGTTTTGTCCCATGAACCAGAAAGGGCATAATTACCATCAGACGATAGAACTACATCACTGATGAAATGAGAATGACCATATAAGCGTTTTTGAGGAATGCCATAATTTGCTTCATCACGTGTTAGTTTCCATACGATCAAAGTTTTGTCTATAAATAAAATATAGGAACTTTTAAAAATAAACGTTTTGTATCGTATGTAATATCACATATAAAATCATCTTCTTTAAAATTAATAAAATAAAGATGATATATAAACAGTACAATGCACGTAAAAGAAATAGTTTAAAACATAATAATAAAATAGAATTAATATGAAATAAATATATTATAATTATAATAATTAACATAATTTAAATATATAAATAAAGACTAGTAGAAAAAGCAATTCTATTATTTTACTCACCACGTGAAGAAGACAATATCATATCCGGATATTTAGGATTTGTAGCAATTTGGGTAACCGGTCCATTATGCCCCCTAAGTGTACCTCTCAGTTGAAGAGTTTCAGTCATTTTACAATGATTTTAAAGTATTTTATGTCTTGGATTAAAATAGATTCCGTGCCACGTTCCACATTCAACACAGCGTTGAACGAAAAGAGCGATAAACCTTCCCTTTTCGAACGCGTATACTATCACGATTCATGTACTTAATAGATGTGCAACTTATATATATAGAATGTAAACCTAAAATGAAATACGAAACATTTTTTGATTAATTTAAAAACAAAATTTTAAATGTAGGATAATATCTTAAATATAAAAATTCAGTAGTAACTTAAAATTACTTTAAATTTAAAAAGTAATTAAAAAATGACTAACAGAATTATTAATCATAATCATTTCTATTTCAATTTTAAATAATATATTAATATACAATTAAATATGGTTTAATATATCTTAAAAAAATATTATACATATTATAATAATATAATTTCAATAATACAAAATTTCAATTATACAAACAATGAAAACCGTTTACATGCAAACCAGTCTTATAACATTGATTGTGATATTGAGGTTATGTTTCCTAAAGTAGTGATAAAATTAGAAATAAATATATGATCATAAACTTAATAAATATTATTATATAAATATACATAGAAGCTTAAATAAAGTACTAAAGATTGATAAAATGATTAGTAAACAAGGAAAAGATTTAGCTTTATCAATGTTACGAACATTACCAAGGTTATCTTTAAATAACATCCGAGATAATCCTGGATCAAGAAAACCTGTTAGTATTATTTTGATACTAAATGTTTATATTTTAACTTATGCTTAAGTTTTACTATGAAAATTATTGCTATGTTTTACTTGAGTATTTGAATAAAAATTTTTTTAATGATACTCTTCATCTTTTAATTTTGTATGTTTGATTTTATTTTAAATTAAACTATTTGAATAGCTATTTTAATTTAAATCAAACTATTAAATTAATTACGTTACATTCCATGAACATATAACAACTTATTTTTTTATAATAATTAATCATGCATTTCTCTAATAGCCAAAACGTGGTCGAGGTCAACATGGTGGAGACAAACATGGAGCTGGTAATAAAGGTTCAGGTCAAAGACAAAATTTTATGCGACCTGGATATGAAACAGGAAATACACCATTTTATCTTAGATTTCAGCATGAACCATATTATAAAGGACATCAGTAAGTTGTTTAATTTTCATCTATATTTAAATTAATACTACACAACTTATATTTTTATTTAATTTAAAATTATTTTAGAACTTTTTTATTGATTTAAAAGTAATTTTAAAAGTTATTATTATAAATAATATGATCATTATTATATAAAGACAATAATGAGGTATTCATGATTAAATATTTTCATGTTATAGTCTAAGAAGGGAATATCCACCTTTATCTTTACAACAACTACAATTATATATTGATACAAATAGAATAGATTCATCTAAACCTATTGATCTTGTATCTATAGTCAACACTGGATTATATAATTTTAAAGTAGAATGGAAACATGCAGGTGTTCACCTTACAGATGAAGTATTTATATACATATTTTTATACAAATATATCAAGTATCATATTTTGTATAAAATAGAATTTATAACTTAATTCAAATTACTTTTAAGGGCGCTGATAATTTCAAAGCAAAAGTAAATATAGAAATCCAGTGGGCTAGTGAACCTGTTATTGCAGCAGTTGAAAGAAATGGTGGTACTATTACTACTGCATATTACGATTATCATTGTTTATTTGCAATAAAGGATGTTGAAAGATTTTTTACAACAGGTAAATTTTTTAAGTTTAAATTAGATACTTGAATTTAATATTCAAATACATTAAAATTAAATTATTATTTAGGAGAGCCAATACCACGTAGACTATTACCAACAGCAGATTGTTTAGAATATTATACAAGTGCAGCAACAAGAGGATATTTAGCAAATCCTGAAGAAATTTCTCATGAACGCTTAATTTTATCTCAGAAATATGGCTATGAATTACCACAGATTGAAAATGATCCTGATTATGAAATGCTTGTGCAACGTAAAGATCCTAGACAATTATTTTATGGCCTGGAACCTGGTTGGGTTGTTAGTCTTAGAGATAAAGCAATCCTTAAACCCAAAGCTGAATATCTTAAGGAATTTTATTCAAGTTAAAGTATTTTGTTGTAAAATGCATTTAGTAAATAAATGATATAAAAAATAACATTCAAATCTAAATAAATTATTTCAACTCTAGAATGAAAATTACTTTTTTAATTTTAATAGATAAATTAATTATATATCTTTTTTTTATACTTTTAATAAAGTATAATATATTAAATAATTTCAAATAATCGATTTTTTAATTCAGAAAATAAAGAAATTGCAGATGAGAAACTATGCAAATATTTAGAGATTTTATTTCGCTATATAAATTTTAATATATATTATATCTTTTTAATTTGATTTTCCAATAATATTTTGCAATTGCATGTGAAAGTGAATATTTCTTACATAAGAAAGAATATATTTCATACATAACCTAAAAACATGATACTTTTAACACGGATAAGAAAAAAAAATTCAAGATGAGTGACCTCATTATCATGCAATGGAAGGGTATCGATGCAGTGGCCTTTCGTGACAGGTGCTTCAATCTATCTTTTTCAATATAATATTTACAACCTGTGTTAACGATTTAAAAATGGCATTTCACGTTAAATCTGAAAAGGATTATGGTTTTTTGTTGAAAAGTTTAATTGCTGGGGGTGAGTTAAATGTTTCTTTATGTTTAAACATGGTACTTTTTTATTTAATTATTACTTGATTAAAATGAAATATTACATGAATAATTTATTGTCTGCTTTAATAGAATATTATACAATATTCATTTATACAATTAAAATTAAATAACATAATAATGTTAATAATTTATTATTAATGTTGAAATTACATTATAATTTTTTTATATTTATCAATAATATTTGAATTATTAATGTTTTCAAATTTACATTATTGTTAAGGGAAAGTAATAACTTATTTCCAAAAATTTTGAATGTTTTATATAGATCATTTATAGTAAATAAAAATTGTACTGTTAGTAATAAATATTCCATAGGAATAGCTGGAATGTGTTCAAAAACAACAGTGGCTCCATTAGATAGGATAAAAATATTATTACAAGCACATAATAAACATTATAAACATTTAGGTAAGAAATATACTATAATGAAAAATACTTAAAAACTATAAAAAATACAATTTAGAAATGGAGTTATAATTTTAGGCGTTCTTTCTGGACTAAAAGAAGTTATTCAACGCGAACAGTTTTTTGCACTTTACAAAGGAAATTTTGCACAAATGATTAGAATTTTTCCATATGCTGCAATACAATTTACTACATTTGAATTATATAAAAAGGTAATTAGTAATTAATTTGTAATGATTTACATTAAAACAATTAAAAATATAATGCCAATTTGTTCTGGGTTAAGTGATTCTACAGAGCGAAGTAACCATTATTAATATAAAGACATGCTCATAATTTAAAGGTGAGCCTTTACAATTTAGATTCACTTCTGGACTTATGTATGCAAATACATTTATATGTATTCACTCATATAAATACATTTATAAAAAATATTTAATAATTTACGTATATAAATATAAAGAAGGTACATATTTTTTAACGAAGGGAAATAAATAAGACATTTTGTTAACAAAAATTAAATAAATTAATTAAATTAAATAAAAGGATTAAACATTTTCAATTTTTACCAGTATTTAGGAGGCTTATTTGGAAAGCATACTCATATAGATAAGTTTCTGGCTGGATCTGCAGCTGGTGTTACAGCAGTTATATTGACATATCCACTTGATATCATTAGAGCCAGACTTGCTTTTCAAGTTACTGGGGAACATATATATGTAGGGATTATACATGCGGGTATTACAATTTTTAAAAATGTAAGTTATGTTAGTTTATATTGTATTTTACTGTATGTTACTGAAAAATGTAATATCATTCAATAATAACAATAATTGATATTATTATAGAATTTATTAATATGTTACTTAGAGAAAAGTGCAAAATTCAAAGTTTTGTTGACCTTTGTATGTTTGCTATAAAAGATAAGGAATATTAGATAAATTTTTCATATGTTAAAATATTATTTTACAATGTCTAATTTTTAAAAAATCTATTTTAAATATTAATTTCAAATTTGAAATATTCTTTTTTAATACTAATATGATTGAATCTTTCAGGAAGGTGGTATACGAGCACTATACAGAGGCTTTTGGCCAACTATTTTTGGCATGATTCCATATGCAGGATTTTCATTTTATTCGTTTGAAAAATTTAAATATTTATGCATGAAATATGCACCAAATTATTTTTGTGAAAAATGTGATAGAAACACTGGTATGTAAAAAAATCTGTGAACTTGAATTAATATTGTTTAAAGAATTGATTTAACTTAAAATTAAATGTTTCTTGAATACTTTTAAAAAATATTTTATCTGACATATAATTATGCAAATGCTTAGATTCTTTTATGCATTTTTTAATTGATAAAGATATTCATTGTATAAAATCTTAATTAAATTTTATTAAATACGTAATTTTTACTTGTGCATTTCATTAACACTTGTTAAAAATGAAATTTTGATATAATTGTAGGTGGTTTAGTTTTAACTATACCAGCAAGATTATTGTGTGGAGGTATAGCAGGTGCTATTGGTCAAAGTTTTTCTTACCCATTAGATGTTACTAGAAGACGTATGCAATTAGGTATGATGAACCATGCTACCCACAAATATAGGTAAACGTGTTAACTTTATAACATGAATGAGGAAAGATTATTTAATTCTGTTAATGATCGATTGTGTAATGTTTAACTACATTTTCTTTCTAGTTCTAGCATGTTACAGACTATAAAAATTATATATAAAGAAAATGGTGTTATAAAAGGTCTATATCGTGGAATGAGTATCAATTATTTACGAGCTATTCCTATGGTATCAGTTAGTTTTACAACATATGAAATTATGAAACAAATACTACAATTAGACACGGGAATGAAATTGTAATTTATTTACTAAAAACATGTATTTTTAATGTTCCAGTTTTATATTTTAATGTATTATTAGTAAAATGTAATCAGTGTTAATACTCCTTTACAGTTATTGAAGCACAAATATTGTTTCAGTTTTATTTTACAATACAGAAATGACTTTTTAAATTTAATTTATAATCATTAATATAAAAATTGCATAATTGTGATTAAAAGTAAAATATTTTATAAATATGAAGACAGATGTTTTCTTTTTATACATAATTAAGATCATTGTGGATAGTTTAATTATTACATTTAATTTTGCAAATGACTATGTTAGTAAAAATTGCATTTATTTATGTTATTTAATAATAGCTTCTAGCAATATTTTTTATACAAAATATATCAGAATTAAAAGTAAAAACCGAAGATTGTGATATAATAGAATATTTTTATTTATAGTAAATTAGGATATGATTTGGGATTTACTGTAAATTCATTGTACATAATAAATAATGTCTAATGTGACTATTCTAAAAAAGTGTATGTAATGATAATTATAATGTAGACACTGTAATTTCAAGTTTATAAGTAGTTTATAAATAAATTTATTTTTTTAATTATCCTTTTTAAATTTTTTAATTATTTTTCGTTAATTAGAAATAAGGGAAAAATATAAATTATTGAAATAATTATGGAAAGTATAATTCCAATTACTTAACAATATATAAGAAAAAATAAAATATTTTTAAGCGTTGATATGAAGTTGATATTACATATTCTGAAAAACAAATAGGAAAAGAAATTGGTAAAGTTATTAATGGCAAAATAAATATGTTACTACTGTTAGTCATTATTAATATGATTGTGTGAAGCTTAAAGTTATTACAAGTTTTAAAAAATTCTGTCTTAAAAATTAAATTTCTGTCGTAAAATTACAATTGAAAAAATTAATATAATATGAATAATAAATTGTTAGTAATTATATATAACACTTATCAATTAATTATAAAATGGAGAATATTTTATAATACTTCGAAATATTTTGTATCTTATGAACAGCATTCATTACCATATCATTGAGCAAAGATATTCTTTGCTATACTGTCCAAATAAGTTAAATATAGAAGATACTTAAAATATTAAGAAGTCGTCATGTCATAAAAATCTTATTACAAACTAAAAATTATACTAAAATATTTTGGACACAGAGTGTATTAATAAAACACTTTTGGACATATGTTCATATGAATTTCTTTTATTGATTTAATTTTTTGAATACATTGTATCAATTTAGTACCAATTTCACAACACTTGGTATAGTAATTTGCCACATTTTAAACTCAATGTTTCATTATCTATAAGATATTGAATATTTATAGTTAGTCAACTATGCACTGTAATAAATAATTTTGCTCATTAATAGTTTAATTTGAAATGTTTATTTTTCAATTTAAAACTTACTTTTTTAAAGTCTTTATACGTTAAAATACATGTGTATAATTATTTATGTATTAGCCTTGCTCATCATATATCTTGCATTACGGTAGTTCAATGTGTAAAAATGATATAAAATGATGATAACATTTCTTTATTTTTCTAGCTTCTGTAATATAATGAGACGACATAATATCAGTTTAAGGCATATTGTTTACCTTGCTTTAGCAAGCTAGTTTAAACTTTGTAACTTAATATTTTGAAGATACATAAGATCTGAAATCAGGGACGCCTGCTGAAAGTTAAAAACCAAATGCACATACATAATTCACAGTTGTATGAAGCATTATTTATGATTAATATAAAATCTTGCAAAAGATATTGTAAAATATATTACGTCAAATTGATATATACAATGTAGTCTGTATGTGATATATAATAATTATATACACTTATAAACTGATTACATTACCCTGAATTTATGTACATAACAAATAAATTTTAAACATTTGAAGTTTTAATTTGAATTTATGCATGTGCATTGGTAATCGATCAATCAGCTTTCAATCAAAGCATGATCTTTTTTAGCTTAATTTGATTATAATCACTTTGTAAAAATCTGCATGTAGGCACATAAAATTCAATGCCAAAATTAAAGTGAAACAAAAAAAAGCCTAGGTGTATGGTTTCTACAATTGAAAGAAAATATTTGATTTAATGTCACCTTATTTAAAATAAAATTTGACAAATGAAAAAATAATGAAGTTGTAAAATATTGAATTTCTAAGAGTTAATAAATTTATTTGTGATACTGAAATTTATCCATTGCATGAAATATTTTAAGAAGACAATAAATAGAGCGAATACAAAATTAACTATACAAGCTCTAAGATCTATTACTGATTTTTCTAAAAGACATATTTCTAATTACCTCATTTACTTCTGTTATAATACTATGATTTTCTTTTCACTTTATATAGGAAATCTTATCCTTATTCTTTTCATTATAACCCGGAAAATATGTGTAATATATAATATATAAAACAAAAATGAAAAAATGCTTAGCCCTGCATCATGTAGAAAAGGTTGCTGTATCCACAATATTATGCTTTCTGTGCTATTTTCTTTTACATTTACAGTCTTAGTAAATTACTATAGTGTGCATCTATACATTTTTCATTTTTTTTTCGCTTTATTGCTACTACTGTATCATTTAATTATGCGTATATTCAAATTACATGCTTACTTCTATGAAATTATGTACTCTGCGAATACACTCAATGCTCGTGTATACAATGTTTGTGTATTGACGAGTATGAATGTGAGTTAAACTCATTTAACTTGCATTACACATGTTTATTTATCAGAAGCATCATTTTATACCTATTAATTAGTAAAAAAGTTGTCGGAAGTTTCACAAGCAATTAACTTTCAATTTAATGATTGTGAATGCATGAATTCATACAGTATAAAGTGTGTTTCACTTAGGAAGTCTTGATAGGATTGATGCAAAAGTTTTTTTTTTACCCTTAAATTATAAAACTTAAGATGATTGTACATTTATATTTAATATAAACATTTGAAAACTGTATATATGCGAGCAGGTTTCAAAATTAAAGAAAAAAGCGGTGAGCATAACTGAAATAAAATAAATGCTAAGGAATAAATATAATTGATGAGCTTGCACTAAATTATATTTTTAAGATGGTTATAAAAATATGACTTATACAAATTATATTTTGATCTATTTAATGAAACAACATCAATACTATAAGCAAAATTATTGACTGCTATGATTCTGATGAATTATTATGTGTAATGCTATATTACAATCATTAACAAAATTCACTAAAGAATTTATTGAATTGTTTATATGGCACAATTTGTATATGCCGAATTTTACTGTTGCATCAACCCTCTTTTTATTTCCTTTAAGTGGAACATTTCATGCTCCATTCACACTAATAATTATGTGACACTCTCTTAAATATAAACTATTATCATTTTGATACACTTTTTAAAACCTTAAACAACATTATTTCTATCCAGTACACGCAACAAATAATTTTGCCCGTATAAAAAGTTTTTCAATAAATTAATATTTGTTCAAGGTTTCAAAACCGTATCATACACATATTTTTGTTCGCACTACTTATTATGTTCATTTCTTTTGTTTTGTTTCTTGATAATAAAAATACAAGCAATACAATGAAAGTTGTAGAACTCAATGCGATACGTGAATTTTAATTGGTAGGTGTGTACATTATTGTTTGTTTTTTCTCTATTTGTATACAATTAATGTTGTGTCTACATGTATGGTGTGGGACACACGCAAAATACTCGGTTGTGTGTTCCGTCTCTCAACAAGACACCACAAAGTGAGTCATGATATAATACTTGAGACTATAATGTAATGTGTAAGGATAGTTGGAACCTCACACTTTTATTGATGTTCTATCATAAATTATGTTCAGTGGCATTGCTATAAAGTCTGAATCATTTCCATACCCCTACCTTAATAGATAACTCAGGGGTTTGACACTTTACAAGAAATAGTCTGGTGTCCGCCTAGTAACATGTGGTTCACCGCGTCTTGGAGCTGGGTCAAATTGAAGGCTAAAAAAGTATAAAACAAAACCAAAATTATATAAAAATTTTGTTCACTTGTCACTTCATATATCATAAATTTTTTTTTACTTACAATGAATATTTTAAAGCATCATCTAATTCCATAATTGCAGCTTGATTTCCACAACGATAGCAATAATTAGGTGCTGAGAAAATAGTTACAACATTACGATCATGACACCTGTAATAATAAATACATGTATGTATGGGATAAAAAATTCTTCAATAATACTATAATATTTATTAAAGCATTCCATATAATGCACAAATACCATACAAACTAAATCATAAGTAAACAATTCCAATAAATATACCAATTGTAACCCTCCATAACTAATTGATGTGCTCGTGATACTAATGTCAGGCCATTAGAATGATTAAAAGTTTCTGAAATGTCTTGTCCAAAAGTATATCCTGCTCCACGAGGAGAAATACCCCACCCTCCTCTATCATCTGGATCTGACCACAAAAGATCACACATGGGACCCTAAAATGACATGGATAACATTTTATATATTTTTCATTTTTTCTTTTTAAACTTAAAAAATAAATAAAAATACTGACCTCATGTGGCACTTCTTGAAGACGATCTAGGGCACGTATATGATCTAAAGTATCGATCGATGGTGATAAACCACCATGTAAACAAAATATTTGACCATCCACCAGTGCAGTTAATGGTAAATAATCAAATAAATCCGTAAAGAATTTCCATACATTGGCATTGCCATATTTACGTAAACATTCATCATAAAATCCATATACCTGTGTGATTTGTCTTGATTCATGATTACCTCTTAAAATAGTTATTCTTTCTCTATATCTGACCTATGAAAATAAGACTTTATTAGGTAATATAAAAAGAAAAAAAAATTCATAATATCATTTTATTTATTTTAGTGTCATAAAAATAATTTCATATTTTCATATCCCATTTATAGATATTTATTTAAAAGAATCTTACCTTGAGTGCAACAAGCAAGGTAACAGTTTCAACGGAATAATAACCACGGTCTACATAGTCACCCATAAAAAGATAATTTGTATCTGGAGATTTGCCTCCTATTCTGAACAGTTCCATTAAATCATGAAACTGTCCATGTACATCTCCACATACTGTTACAGGACATTTTACTTCTTGTACATTAGATTCTTTAGCTAAGATTTCTTTTGCCTTAAAGTACACACAAAAGTACATTAATTTTCATATTACTTGTTATTATTATATACAAATTTGACCACAATACAAGAATTTTTATATACAATTTATAAATATATAATTGAACGATTTCAAATTAAAAGATAAAATAATTTAATGATCTATCAAATGTTCATAATATTATGGAAGTAATGATATTAACGGTATATAAAAGTTGTTATAAGAAGCAGAACACTTAAATATCTCTGCTACAATTGAGGATAGAAGAAAATGTCCAAAACAGATATAATAATGTCCACGATGACAAACATATGTTTTATTCAATATTATTTTTATAATTATTTAGAAGTGATTAATATATATATATATTCTTTTTCTTAAACTACTATCATGTAGTTTTAACTTTATGGAATTATAATCAATGTTCAATGATCTAATATGATCTTAAAATAATCATGAATTCAAATATTATTATTTTGTTATTTGATCATCAGGTTAACAAATTTGCTCACAAGAAACATTAATATATATAATATGGTTTCTTCATAGTAATAATGTGATATTTAAAATATAGGAACATGTAAAAAAATGTAATAATATAAAGATACTAATATACAAAATCTATTATTTCTGTTGAATTGCTAAGATAATTTATTGATTTACCATGTACCAATGACAATAATAATAAAAGTCAATCTGATTTACATTTATGCTAACAGACATAAATTTAATTTATAATTTATTTAAATTACTTACATTTTTCATGTGTTACAAAAAATACTATATATGGACAATTACTAATAATCACATTATTTATCTTATTCTACTTGAATTCAACTCATGAAGAAAACTGAAAAATAATATTTACAGTGAACAACCAATTATACTACAGAAAATTGAAGAAAAAATAATTCAATTTTATGTATTCATTTTATAGATAATGAAAGATAAAATTGAAAGAACACGTAGAATGACTCTTTTTAAAATATGATTAAATGCTTGTATTACTATAGAAGATTATTATTTTGAACGTTTATAATACCACATTTATATACAGTAAAATAATTTTTAATATTAATGTTTCCTTTGACTGAACTTTTGAATTTAAGGTTATTTCAAGGTCATGATATATTAGGTCATTGAACTTATCTCGATATTTGTTAAAATATAGTACAATTAAAAGTACATGATACTATTTTAAAAAATTAATAATGACCTTCAAATAACCTTAAAAACATCAAATAAAAAATTGGTTTATACTATTATATTTATCACATTAAATAATATAATTTTTATCTTAAACATATCTTTATATCTTTAATTCCAAGAGATATTTAGATGTTTTATTTTTCATAACCAACCCTATATTAAATAGCACTATAAGAAATAATAAAAAAAATTTTGTTAAATACTGCAAATTTTAAATAAAAGGTATATTGATATAAATATTACTATTAATTGCACTGCCATCTAAAATAGCTTAATAATAACATTAATTAGTATAACTTACATGGAAGATATTGAAAATATCTTCACAAATACATTGACAATATCAGATAATACAATAGATTAAAACAATGATTCATCAACATGTAATTAGCTTTCATTTTCTTCCAAATATGAAACAGTTTTAGTAAATTATTGTAAGATATTAAACATACTTGTAACTATTAACTAAATATCATTTATATGCTGAATATTAAAATTCAGTAATTATTTTACTTTGTACATGTATAAAGGACAAATATATTTTCTTACTTATAATAATAAATACTATTATTTTTCAAATTTTAGTTCATAAGCTAATAATATAATTGTAATAGTTGAAAACTGTAGAATACAATGATTAAATATTTTTCGATAATTATTTACGTATTAGTATTACATACACAAACATCTCGAAGAAGAAAGTAATAGAATAAGATAATTTCAACGTAATATCACAGTGTTTTGGACATTGAAGCGTGAAAATTAAAGTGCACTTTACATGCCGGAAGAAATCTTGTTTGGAAAGTAAAAATAGAATCGTTGGCTGATTCGACAAGCTTGCTAAGTTTTACAAGCACGAACAAGTTGCAGTGTAAGTCTGAATAGCGGAGAACACAGTGGTTTTTGTAGCGTCTAAGTACGATTAAGGAAAACACAAAGTAAAACTGAACTTGGCAAAAACGCGAAACGTAAAATATCGATAGTTTTTTTTCTATACATACAACATATTCAAATGTATCGCAATGAAATTTGTAATGACACGTCAAATTATGCTAGTTGGTCTCGGTAAAGTACAAATAAACGAACATAAAACAACATAATGAAATTAATTTTGATTTAGAAGTTGCACAAAAAAGTTGACGTGGTAATGATGTTTAACTGATGAAGTACCTTGTCGCACAGAGATTTTACTTGGCTTTCTGTTAGTTGTTGGCAGTTATTTAATTGTTCTATCCACTGGTCGAGTTCTTTCAACGACGCCCTTTCCTCCATCGTACAAATCTACGTGAAGTCTACGGATAACCCGCACTCTTAGCACATGTAATAAAAGTAAAGCGAGTCCGTCTCGTAAACTAAATCATTCGGTTTTACTGGAAAAGCTTCTTAACACAAATATCCCGATCCAGCACACACTCACAAAATGGCCGATTGCAAGTACTGACGGTGACGTCACACTCAATTCATGCGTGCTTCACTAGCTATAACCTGGATTATCACGCTGGCCAATCACGTTTGGCGTTTATCCTACTTGAACCAATCGCATGTCGATTTTACTTGTGTCGCATGTATACTATTGTACACTGTGCAACTATGACTGCATCGTTTTAACGACAATGATTACGTTTCTCTTGGAAACATTAGAGCCTTACAATGACGTATATAAATGTGAGATAAAATCGGACAAAACTAAAAAAAATATATGAATATAAAACATATGGTAGTTTTCAAGTTTCATCGTGGATTTAATGTTACGTCTGACACTCAACCATTTGACACCAATTACATTTGTCTCGTTACCATATCAACATGAAAGCTTTCTGAATTTTATCAATATGATAATTATTAAAATATCAAATTTATTTAAAAATAATTACAAAATAAAATGGTAGTTTTCAAAACACAATCGATTACATCTGCTTGAATTTAGTCGCGAGTCAAAATGATTACGAATCCAGGAGATCATTTTTCGAACATACCAGTAATATTATTTCGATTTTACCTTCTCACAAAATTAATTTGACCAATATTTGTTTAATTTTATTGATATTACATTCTTAACGCCTTTGTGTTTATGTACGAATTTTAAAACAAATATATTTAATTTAACGAGTAATGAAATAGAAATAAATTTAAAATAAAATTTTTATTATATAAATCCATTTTATCTTACTATGTATATAAATTAAAATTTAATTGTAAAAGTGTTAGAATTTCTTTTTTCTTTAATTTCTGTAATTTGGTAAACTTATATTGAAAAAAAGCACAGAAAGGTCTTTTATTTTAATCATAACTTAAGTTTCGTAATTAATTTAAAGAAAAAATGTAATAATTAGTAATTCTGCAATAAAAATCGTCTTAATTTATACTATATTATATGTTTTGTTGCATGCATTTAAATATTTTCTTTGATTTTGTTGATGAAAAGACTTTTTTGATTATTAAGATAAAAAAATATAAGAAAAGAGAAAAAGAAGAAAATTGGAGAAACAATGAAAAAAGAAAGAAAAGATAATTAGAAAAGTGATATGAGTTATAGTACTAATTATTTTTATTTTTATTGATATTATATTAAATGATTTAAACATTGTTTTTTTTGTTTGTTTATTACAAACTATTTTATTGATTTCATAAACCAAAAGTTTTATTTGGTTTTGTAATTAAATGTTTCATATGTCTATAATATATGTCTATTGAAAATGTAATTTTATAATTTAAAATATTCACTATTAATATTTAATTAATATTCAATACAATAAATGTTTATTACGTATTTTACAGTTTACCTATAAGCTGGAAGCCTATATTATAAATATATTAAAACATGATGTTATAAAATATTTAAAAAAAATGAAAATGTAATCAATAATGTTAGTATGCTATTATGATAAAACTTCAAGATGATTATTTCATTTCATATCTATGTTTAAAACAATAAAGTATCACGTTGATTAAATTCCGCAGACTATTAAATTAAAAACATTTCTAATTAAAATTTATATTACTCTAGATATGTTATATTTCAAATAATAACATTTATAGTAATAAATAACAGTTGAAATAATTTTACTTTGCCAAGACGAAATTAGAATTAGAACTAAGGTTACATACAGTTGCTCATGAAAGTATTCGAACACTATATTTAAAAGAAATTCTGATTTTATATTTGTGTGCACATAAAGAATAACGAATTCAGCGTGCAGTAATTTTTTTTATTAGCAGAAAATGATTTCGAGGGGGTAAAATCAGCAACTAGTTTTAACAATTTTTTTGATTCTTAGGCAGGATCACACGGAGAAATTTTTACTATAGAGTGATAGATCGCCAAAAGTTAAACATTTTTTATTCAAAAAGCTTTTTCTATCTCGCATCGTTATATAGTTACATCTAAAAAAATAGAGATCGGTCTGTAATTTTGAGTAAGGATTTAACCACGTGAAGTAATATCTATAAATAAAAAAAATTGAACCGTGTGTAACTCGTTATTACATTGTTTATAGGGTAAGTCACGCAACAATGTTATTTGAACTTTTTTGTGAACTATTTGTTGTATGAAAAAATGTTTCCACTGAAAATTATTTGGTATCAAGAGCAACATACAATTCAATAGTTATTTTTTCATTTTACCAAAATATAAGGGTCCCCTTAAGTTTTTAACTATAATATGCAACATTTGATGTCATTTGAATGCCATGGAATACAGAATCAAAAATTATGGGGTCAAAACTTAATAGTTATCGAGATAATCTTCAGTTATTTTTAATATAATAAATGTTCAAAATGTTTCTTGTAATTAATATAAGTACATAGACAATTAACCAATATATTTAATATACATCTAATATACTTGTTTCTGGACTTATACTACTACATGTTCTAATGATGCAGTCTTTCATATCTTCAAAAATTATAGGCAACACGTGATTCACATAATTTCTTACATGTCCTTAAAGATAATAATTAGGTGGTGTTAAATAATTAGAAATCATGAACAAGCATCATATCTTGCATTACGATATTGTTAACTTCAATTATTATAACGAAAGTATTTGTTATGTCATTGTTAAGTTTGTATTGTCAGACTTATTGTTACAAAATTAATTTATACAATATTAATATGGAAGATCTTGCATATTTGAAAATATTCAGACAAGCATTAATTTCTCATTCACAAGTTTTGCCATATTTTAATTAAGAATATCTCGGTATCTATTAATTTCTGACTTCATATACTTCAATAATTTTTTATTTTAAATTAAATAAACATTCAAATGACACAATCAAATGTTGCACATTGCAGTTGAAAAACTTAAGATAACTTCAAATCCTGATACAAAAATGAAAAAATAAAAAGTAGTTATTACATTGTATGCTCCAAACAATTTTTGCAGAAAACATTTTTTCATAGAATAAATAGTTTACAAAAAAATTCAAGTGATGTAGTTGCATGACTTAGCCTGTATATCAAATTATATATAGGAATACCTAAACATACTATAATAAATACAATAAATGATAATACTTATCCTTCTTTTACTTAAATTTTAGTCAGACTGTCATTGTATGTTTGTAAATATCTTCCATGTATTATATTCTAGAAAAATTAATAAAAAGTTTTTGTTATATGATCATAAATTTTGTTAACATTTGAAGTATTACTAAGATTTATGATAATAAAGCTATTTTCACCATAAGTTCAGTCAAGTAATTTTCAATAAATATTACAATGATTTATTTTGTAGTTTAAAAAAAAATTAAATAAGATTCGATCTTTTAATGAATGAAATAATGTAATTTATAAATGAAAGGTACTTAAGAAGTACACACTTACATAATCTTAATATATTTCACATATACACATTACTAAGAATAAAATTACAGTATAAGATGTAATATTATTAAATGGAAGAAGATATAGTGCATAAAGTCAATCAATTATAATTAATTAAATTATAATGAAATTATTCACTTTACAGCAACACTGAAATTTGAAAGAAATGCATTAAGTATTCTATAGTGAACAATCTAAATAGAAACTGAAATGTTTTATTTTAAAATAATGTAATTTTAATATTTTTACAAAAAGAAAAAAAAAAAGAAAAGAAAAAGATATAGAGATACAAACAGAACATAACATTCTTTCATTTAAACTCAAAAAATTTTAAAACAATTATTTCTAACCATTTATATTGTATTTCTATTGAAAATTTATATTTTTGATTATTCGAAATAATGATAAATTTGCATTGTTTAATAAATATTAGGAGGATTATTAATAAACTGTAAAATGTAAAATATAAAAAAGGGGAATGCATTACTATTTAAAAAGCTGTAATTATTTCATCATACCTTTCAATATTTAAGATTGAGGATACATTTCTGATTTATCGACTAAAAATAACATTTTAAAGTAGTAGTAAAATGTGGTAAGCATCAATATCCATAGATATAATTCAAACAATTATCAAAGAGATCTTTGCAAAGTGATATTGCCTATTTGCAAAGTGTTGCATCTAATTGAATAAGCCATGGCAGTAATAATTTAATTTTTCTTCTATAATTTGGATCTTTGGCAACAGGATTATGTTCTAAATACACAGTTTGTAATTTTTTATTAACTACTAAATTTTCTACAGATGTCCACTTCTCAATTTCATTGTTGTTTATCTGAAAAATACATCATATATTAAAAAATCAAATAAATAAAGATATATGCAATTCTTAATTATACTTTTACCCAAAAGTCTTCTAAATCCACAAGATGTTCAATGTTTTCAATCTTTGTTATTTTATTATTTCCTAAGTCAAAAGTTGTTAATTTTAGACAATTCGATAATCCTTCAATGGATGTTATTCCATTTTCAGATAAATATAGCTGATCCAGATTCTTTAATTCACTTAGATTCTCTATTTTTATAATGCGATTACTTTGAAGACTTAATAATTGAAGATTTTTTAAACAACCTAAGTTCTCAATTTTTGTTATTTTATTTTTACCAAGGAATAAACTTGTTAAATTTTCAAGTCCTTCAAGATTAGCTATCTCTCTTATTTTGTTATCACCTAACTCAAGAGTTAAAAGATTTTTCAAGTGAGATAGATTTTCAATGCACTGAATTTTATTTGATGACAGAAACAACTTTTGTAAATTCAGTAAGTTTTCTAATCCTTCTATCTTTCTAATACGATTGAAAGATAAATCTAGAAGTCTGAAAGTAGAATAATTTTATATCAGAATTTATTTATGTTAAAGATATATAAGATACTATTATTATATGTTTATTATAACAAAAATTTTATATATTATATAATTATATAAAATATATAACATACTCTAAATTTACAAGAGTATCTAAATTTTCTATAACAGCAATTTGATTATCCCTTAACTCTAACTCAACCAAAGTTGTAAGTGTATCAAGATTTTCAATTTTCTTTATCAGGTTCCATGTAAAACATAATTTACGTATTTTGCTTAATGGTTCTAACATTTCTAATTTTGTTAATCGTGAGTGATTGAAATCTAATTCCTACAACATTAACAAAATAATTATACATATAACAAATGTAATACTGGAAATTTTCAAGTTGTTATCAATAATAAAAAATAATAAAAACGAACTTCGCTATCAGGATCTGTGATAAGAATCTTTTCTGGTTCTTCATTCTCGTCATTTTCATTCTCTCCTTCAATTTCAGCTGAACCTTCGCTTTTATTATCCTCTAAAATACAAACATATGTTTATGATAATTATGATTTTTCATATTTTTATTGATGATCATGTTACAATAAACAATTATTGTACCATTGTTTGCCATTATTACAAGATGAAATTAATGATAATTTCAACAATGTAATTAATAAGTTCAGCTTAAAACTGTGTAAAAAATTGATTATACAGTTTCATAAAAGTCTTGCATTAAATGTAGAATGAACTACTGTATTCGTTTGACAGTTTTAAATTGTATAAACTTTATACTGTAGCGAATTCTACACCATCTCACAAATGTGATTGTGAACTATTATATTGCGTAAATGACAATTACATCGTATATATTGTAAAAGTTTCTCAGGGTTTGTTCTTAGTTTTTACACTTTTTACAATGATCAGTAGTTTAAGTAAAATTATTTTAAAACATTTACTTAAACAAAATTGAAAGGTTAATAATGAAAAATTAGTATTAATTTGTATCATTTAAAAAAAAGATTTTTTTTTGTTATATTTTGTCGTTTTTTTGAAAATAGTAATTTCATGTTACAAAAGAAATATGAAACATTTTCAACAAACGATAAGAAATTTATATAGAACTTGTTTAATGAAGACACTTATCGAGTATAGATTCCACAGTATCGATTTAGAAGACTTAAGATTAGTTTATATATATCGACATTGTATTATTACAAAACGTATTAAATTGTGTAAAATTATTATTTCTATTATTAATTACTTTCATAATTAATGAAAATACTTCCTTATAAAATGATTTTAAAGAGATAAAAAATTTACTAGGTTTATATCTGAATTCTAGAATAAATCTAGGGAATTTTTTAATGGCGATATTTAAATTCATTGATAATATTTTTATTTTGATATTTAACATGTCTATAAATAGAGAAAGTAACATTTATTTAAATACTAATGCCAAATAAAGAATATATTTCTGTAATATATAGTAATGTAACGTAAATTAAAAATGTTTATTAAAAAAATTGTACGTTAATATTTTATTGATGAGTATTCCCTTTTATGTATCATTGCCGCGTCCGTGACTTTGATCAGTAGCTAGTCTAGTGAAAGATGGCCGAAAACAATGGCAGTGATTATTGAGCTAACTTTGCGTTCTCCTAGTACTTGTCAACAAAGAAGTTATCTTTAATTAAAAAGTAACTGAAGCATACAACATAGTTACACGTGAGTATGATTTTTATTCTGTTTGTCGTTATTGATTAAGATTTTAACCTTCTCATTTAGTACTATAGTCATTTAACGCTGTAAGGAATAGCAATTGTGCTTTTCATCTTTTCTTACTGTCATCTCGTCTTACATTACAAAAATCATTTCGAACGTTTTTTAACATATTCGAAATATATTTTCCCAAAATTTTCGTTAGATATTCATGTGGTTTCACGAATATCGTATCTCTTAAATCTTCGTTCATTTTTACGATCTTTCAGTTGTAGTCATTTAAAAACTATTTTATAGAATTTTAACTTAACTTTCTTTGAAAATTTGTTATCTTTCTTAATTAAAATTAATACATCCTTTAGAAAATATAATCATGCATGTATCATATACCATTTATGTGAGGTAACATTGATAATAATGATTTTACGTGATGTTGTTTTATATAAAATATTATTAATTATTTTATTTTTTATATACGAAGAAGAGTAAGCTTTATTTTGTACTATGGAAATAAGAATTTTTGTAAGAAATATTACATTTTTCAGTTATTATTTTTGTATAATCTTTCAAGTTTTTTACATTTAACTATATAATATAAATAGAAAATCACAAAAAATTATAAAATATGAATTTAAAATTTTAAAAACTAAAAAGTACAAATCTAATTTTAATTTTGAAGTTAAAGTATAAATTGATTTAAATAATATTTCGATAAATTGCAATAATATGTTATACTATATTTAATTAAATAAATTAATATTATTATAAATTAACGGCTTAGATTTTTTGTGTAATAATAAAAAAAATGTGAATTTTATTTTACAATATTTATATTAAAGTAAATAAAGTGAAAAATAAAATTTTTATCTTTCAAAAATTATTTTCTAAATTAGTAATAATAAAGGATTGTATTGTACTTGATAATATATAGTTCTATTGATTTCTGTTTCTATGTTAAATTATGTACAAACAATGAAAAGAAAATTATTAAAATTATAAATATCATTATTGTCTTTTAGGTATATATTATGGCAACTGCTATTCAAAAGAATGGCATGAAACCTTTAACAAATACATCAAGAAATCATGTAGAGGATGTAAAGAATTTAGATAATACAAAAATATGTAAAGAAGAAAAAGATGAAAGGATATTTGATGGACAAATCCAACCTTACGTCGAGCCTCATGAGCAGGAACCTCGTGAACTGGATATTGTTATCAATAATGTAGTTTGTAGTTTCAGTGTTAGATGCCATTTAAATTTACGAGAAATTGCATTAAATGGATCTAATGTAGAATATAGAAGAGAAAATGGGGTATGTTTTAAAATAATCTTTCTTCTTCTTTTTGTAACAAGTTATTCCTATATAATACACTTTAATAATGCGTAATACATTTAATTATCTTAATTATATGTACATTTTTTATTGATTTGCAATTAATATATTTTTAATTTCTATCAAAATTTGCACGTAGAATACATAAATAATGTTTTAATGAAATATATACTGTGTTCTAAACATTGAATAAAATCATAAGAAATATTAATATTTAGAATAACGAAAAGAAGTGCAATTAATAAGTACAAAGATATTAAGCTGTTTGTTATAAATAATTTATAAATATTTATATTTAATTTTCCACAATTAATGATAAAAAATTGTAATCAATTATTTAACACGTTAAGTGCCACACTGGTCCCTGCAGACTGGCACCACACTTTTCGTTTCCGTTACAGTGATGCGTATAGACCGATCGCTGGATTTTGTTTTAAGCTACGTTACCTTGTCGGTCTGACCATAACTTTCGACTGCTAGATGATCCGACTATACAGTGACGTTGATTTTTAGGCTGGAATATTAATTCAATAGATGTATTACGTTCTGAATCTGACACATCAAATTACAAAGGCTAAAAAAAATCTTGTGAAAATATTTGAAAAAATTGCTTTAACGAACGAAGTTGTACTATATCCTTTATGAAACTTGTTTCTTTATCATTTGTTGATACTCACGCATCAAGCGTATCTTACCGCTTGGTAATTTCAAGTAATTGCAAATGGAATATGACGGAAAGTCGGCATGGAACTTAACGTGTTAATAAAAAGATATAATTTCTAATTATATTCCTTTCCTAGATTATGTAAAACATTTTATTATTTTATTATAATTTCAATTTATTGGTATGATATGATAATGATAATAATTATGATAGAATGTTAATTTTTATTTGGGAGTATAACTAACATTTAATGTATATAAAATCAGAGATATTAAAATATGTTGAAAATACCATAATTTGTTTTAAAGTCAGTAAAGTAATAATTCAGTTTTAAAACTAATATGTATACTTATTTTACATTTTAGAAATGTAATTATTTTACAGTTTAAAATGATGAAATTTTATAATCAAATAAAAAAATTTGATCTTGAAGAATATTCAATAGTATTTATAGACAGTATTTTTGGTATATGTATGCATGTTGCAGATGATAACTATGAAATTAAGGAGACCTTATACTACAGCTTCTATATGGTCTTCTGGTAAAGTAACATGTACCGGTGCAACTAGTGAAGTCCAAGCAAAGATTGCAGCTCGTCGCTTTGCTCGTTCTCTTCAGAAACTTGGATTTAAAGTACGATTTAACAATTATAGAGTGGTCAATGTATTAGGTACATGCTGTATGCCATTTGCAATTAAAATAACATCATTTTCATCATGTCATAAAGAAAATGCAGAGTGAGTATATCTATTTGTATATGTGTGCATATTTTATTGTATGTAGGATATCTAGATAAGAATGGTAGAATATGCCAGAGAATTGAAGTAATCAAAAACATCATTTTACAAATTTTATTTGGTATAAGGCAAAACATTGCATGATATAAATTAGGTTTGTTTACAAAAGGGGTCCCTTATACTGTTTAGTTGCCTACTACCATTGTCAATTGTAAGAGACAGGCATTATTTAGAAAGAGACTAAGGTCATGCTCCATCACCATGTACTATCATTGACATTATACATCTCCTAAGAAACTTTGAATCAAGATGGTGGAGGTGGAGTAGGTGATCCCCTCTAAACTCTGGAATTTAGCTTGTACAAGTTTGGTATAAATAATATTTTTGTAAGTGGAGTAGCAGGGAAATTTTCTATTTTAAATGATAATTATTTTAATTAAATATTGATGAGTACAATTCAGCTTCATTTATTTATGTTATTTTGTATGATTTAATATTTTTATTTTTTTAATCTGCAATAATATTAAATATAAATATAATTATTTTAATTGCAAGGTATGCTGATAATATAAGGTGCATAAAATAGTAAGGAGTATCACCTGGTAATTTGAACAGCATAAGGGAAGATAAGAAACTTGGTCTTTGTTCTTACTAAGCAGCCAACAAGTATCAATTAGCTGTTGATGTTTATTTAACTTCTTAAGATATTTATGATGAATTTACGATTTTGTATTAAACTAAATAATCTTGTGTGGCAGATTACTAAATTCATTTTATCAAATATCATTATGATATAAATTAAAAATATAAGGTTTCATTTAAAAAATTAATTTAGAATTGAAATTTAATGCATTGTATTATCTGCAAAACTATTATTTGTCACATAATGTCATATAATGTCTCTCTTTATATCAAATAATTTTTATAAAATCATTTTTCTTATTGCATCAGACTCTTAGATATTTCGTCATTTTTCTTTAACATCTAATACATAATTATCGAAATATAAATATTAAAACTGATTTTGACTTACATTTCAGTTATAATATATTATTTTCATTTAAGAATATTTATATAATATTGATTTTGTTTAGTTATGAACCAGAACTGCACCCTGGTGTCACATATAAACTAAAAGAACCAAAAGCTACATTAAAAATATTTTCTACTGGAAGTGTCACTGTAACAGGTTTGTATTATTATTAAAGTAATTCATTCTAATTGTATATTAAAATTGAAGATAAAAATGTATTATTATTACTTCCATTTTAATTTGAATCATTTTGTTCATTGAGTAAAATGAAATAAATATTACAGCTCCTAATGTTGCTGCTGTCCAAGCTGCAATTGAATATATTTATCCACTAGTCTATGAGTTTCGTAAAGAAAGAACTGCAGAAGATGAACTTGCCTTAACAACAAAGAAACGTAGAATGGGGCTAAGTAAAAGAAGTCGCGATGAGTTCCTACATGATTCAGATTATATATATGATACCATTTTCTCTGACGAAGAGGAAGAAGAAGAAGAGGTTGAGAGTGATGTCAGTTGGGACTGAGCAATTTATTTTGCTGCTTCTTTGTTAATTGTGAAACTGTTATATTTACATCTTCTTTTTCAAGAAAAAGAAAAAAATAGATACATACTGCTTTGTGTACAAAAGTGTTATCATAAAGAGTGAAGTGAAGCATTCAATTTCTCTTAGTGAAAAAACAATGTGTGAGTGCTAGAGACAAATATGCACATACAAGTGCTTTAATTATGATCATACTAATATTGAATCAACTGAACTGAATTTCATCATCAAAACAATATCATCATAATTTACTTTCATTAGTGATATATATAGATATATATATACGTACATAGATACATTCATATATATACACACACGCGCGCGCGCGCGCGTACACACACAACACACACTCACACATATATACACACGCATGCACGCACGCACGCGACACACATATTTGATACACGCGCGCGCACGCACACACTCACACACACACTCCCAGCGCACGCACACACGCGTATATGCATACATGTATCTATGTACATATAAATGTTAGGCATAAAAATATCTATGCAAATTCACTGTGTTTAGCAAACAATATTTCAACATTTGTTCAATGTTTCTCACCTTTTTTTTCATTTCTGTTTTTCTGACAGAATTTACTATATTTAAATAATTAAGAACAATTCTAAAATGAACTTGTTTATAATCATGCTCCTTTATAATTTAAATAATGAATCGATTCACATTTGTTAAGTTTCTCATTATGTAACGATAAGTTATGTACTGGAGTATTTTGGTAGTGATGGAAAACATGTATATTCTTGATAACTTTTGTTTTACTTCTTTTTACTCATAGGTATAATCTATTTTTGCTTAATTAACATACTGTGCCAAAGATGGATGTTCAAAATTTGAGGTAAAGTGATTAAAGAACATCTAAGAAGTTAAAAATTTTGTTTATTACTACAATTAGCTTTTCTATTACAATGACATGTTATAATGGACATGACAAAATATTTGAATAATTTTCTGTAGCAAATAAAGAGTTGTATATGATTTATTTTCATTTTGTTCTAAAATTATGTCAACAAAAGTTTAATATCTGATAAACAATTCTAAAAAATTACAAATTAAGACAAATTTTCTTTTAAATGTCTGTTTGCATTGTCAAATACTCTTGCTTTAAATGACTATGAGCTGTTTTTAGCAGTTGTAATAAAAAAATACTATATAAAACAATTATTACCTTTAACTGTTAATTATGTAAAAATTACGCAGGCCTGATTGCAGTGTCCTAAGATTTGGCTTCATTATTTATAGTTGTATCATTGTACAGATTAGTTCAAAAGTCGAAACTTAGTTTAGAGTACCTTGTCAGTTAAATCTGTCATTTTTGTTATTACAAAATATGCTTGAAAAATGAAACATAAATCGTAATTTAGTAAAATGTTTCATTTTATGTTTTGTAAATTGCAGCAAAAGTTTAAAGAATAGAATAGATTACAATAACATATTACTTATCATTTCTAATATTAATTGTCAACATGTAAGATCTTATTCATTTATTTATTTATCACTTGCAGTATCCTCTTGACGATAAGTGCATTTGAATTATGTCACAATCATTTAATCTAAATTAGTCATTGTCATGTATATCATAACTCGAGAAACAAATGTCATATTTGTTTCTCAAAATATTAAGCAATTAAAGTTTAATATAATTTAAAAATACAAGAAACTTGATTGTCACAAGGTTATTTTTAAATTTTGTTTGATAAATAAAATTGTGAGTATATAAGATACAAAATTTTATACAAATGACGTAATTTAAGAGAAACAAAAACATTCTTTGACTACTTTTTAATTATTTAAAAACAGTAGAGTGGATTTTAAATAAGACATACTGTAAATAAACCAAGTTATGCAGATATACTAGTATGCAATGAGTTGCATACTTATCAAATATTAACAAGCAAAATGCGTAAATTATGATTGTTATTAATTATATACACTCTTCATGATCTTTTTTCGTATTATAAGTATATGTGAATGAAAAAAATATTGGCAATATTTTTCAATAGTATAATGGAAATTAATCTGTACCTCGTGCCATACAAAATACTATTCGTACACTAAGCTTAACTGAATTCTTATAATTTATTATGACTTATTAATTATATATAAAATGCATTCTCTTTACAAAGATGCTATAGTCACTGCCCTTAATGCATTCAATGCAAGAATTAATAACTCTAATCCAATCAAATATATATGAAATCAAGCAATGAAGGACCTTAATTTTATGTTAATTACCAAATGTATTAAATACAATCATATAAATGAAAAATTTATATTTTAAGAATGGCAATAATGTCAGAACCACTATGTAATTTATAATTTTATTCAATTTAAAGTATATATACTTTTCATATCCTTTTTTCTTTAGTAGAATGTAAAGATACATAAAATACAATGTATTTTGGTAATTATTTGACATGTGCATTAAAATTTCGAATAAAGTATTGTTTATTTCATGTCTCTAGGAAAATTATTTGAATAAAATTTTCAGAAATTTTGTTAGCAATTATGAATATGATTTTCTTTTACTATAAAATAATATCTTTTAATTTTTATTTGGAATTCTTTGTGTTACATCTTATACCTAATGTCAAAATTGACATTTTAAGATTACATGTAACAAAAAAATATGTATTTTGAAACTGTAATTGAAATCAGAATAAAAATTAAATTGTATAATAATATGACTATGAGACAGTATGTTCAATTTTTTAAATGTAAAATATATACATTTTTATTTTTTATGAAATTATATAAGCAAAACTTATTAGAAAAATTATTTAATACTTGAAATATTTATTTTGCAATTTAATAATATAGATATAAAAGTTTCTGGCATGGTTTCATAAATTTTATATTAGAATTGTTAAAAAATTATTTAAGAAAATTCAATAACAATATTTTTCACAAATCAGTATTTCTTTAAATAAAAAGAATTAAAAATTCAATGGTACTTTATAAAATCATGACGCACATGGCAAATTTTTTAAAAGAAATATTTTATGCTATTATAAAACTGCATTATGAAAACTAGATATAGCAATAACATTTAGCTCAGTTAATTACTTTCTTGAGTATGCTGATGTACGATTGTATGCATGGAGTACAGAAGTATTTACTATTTATATGAAGTAAAAGCTAATGTAATTATGATTAGACATCATATCATTTTTGAATAGCAAACTTAAAATAAAATCTATCTTATTTGGAATATTTAAAATAAACAAAGGTTATTTATACATATTTCTTTATACGTTTTTCTTTCAATCATAACTGCCAATACTATATTCTTTCCTAAAAATGATTATTAATATTATGAAAAAAATTGCTACATCATTATCATCTTTTTCAGAGCACATTTTTGTTGAAAATCTGGAACAAGAGTAGTTATATTCAAATTCAACTTAATGTCGACATGGAACTGCAGTGATGTTATTAGTATTACATTTAATTTAAATTAATTTCAAAATAAATCACTGTTTATTACAATTAAGCACATGACTGCCAATCACAGACTATAACTAAATTCTATTTCAGTAGTTAATTCAAGCAAATACAGTTATTTCAATGATTTTTTTAAATTCATGACAATAAGATATTGATAGTTATTGTTTATTACTATAATATTGTATGTTTATAATAAATTTTTTTAATAATTATTTATAATTTATCTGCTACCTTTATAAGGATATATTAGGTTTCATATTCAAGGTAGTTCATGTAGCATAAAATTCGTGTTAGCATAGAAAATTGAGTATGAAAATCCTTTCATATTAATATTTTAAGGGAAAACATGATAGTTCAATACTATAGATAGATCAATACTATAATTTTGTTTTTCTTGGTTTTCGGATTGAATATGTATCTTTTGCTATCCTTTTGAGTTCCATTAATGTTTTAAAAAATTGTAAAAATAGTTATAGATGAAGCATTCATTTTCCAAAGGTTTGTATTTTTAAATTGAACAGGTTGTTAGTTTTTTGATTGTATCATAATGAAATAGTTTCCTTTTTCTACGAGGTAATATAAAAATCAGAATATTAACAAAGATAGATTCATGTTTTTCCTTGTGGTTTTTATATGTATATTTTTAATATCAGTGTCTACTTTATGTTGCATATACTACCTAATTTGAACAAAGTAACTACAATTAATATATTGTAATTAATACAATAGAAAAACAAAAGCTTTGAATTATTAATCACCATAAAAAAATGATGTGCACTTTTACCAAATTTACAAAATTTAATGTACATTGCTCTTTTTCATTTTACATTCCAGGCCTCTTAATACCACTATTTTCTAGTCTGAGAACATATGTACACCAAAGACAGTCCACAAAAGCATGTTACAATATAAAATAGTATAAGTAACATGAATACATTGCTCAAGATTGATTAAATTTAAGTACAGTGCTTGTACAGTTATTAATGAAAATACATAATTTAGATTTCTTCAAAATATTTGAAAATCAAATTGTAAACTATCATAAAAAAAACGAATTTATTAAAAACTTTGGTAGAGGTGAACATTCTCTGTCAATTCTTCTATGTATTCTATAATTACAATATTTATGAGCGTGTTGACAGCAAAATATGATTTTCTAGTATAACACTTCATTAATGACTATTTTTATGCATATAAATAACTAGACATGAATATGTACCAATTATTGTATTGATTTTTAAAAATAGCTAATTTACAGCTTAATGTGAAACATTTTTAGGTGGTACAAATGTTATGATATTACATAAAGTTTTATAGATTCAAATGATCCATTAAAACTACAGATAATTTACAATATATTATAATCGTTGAGAGAAGTGCTAATTTCTTGATGTTATCATTATACATTTAAACATTTCTTCCAATGTTCAAAATGTTATTAACATAATGATATACTATTGTATAGCTATATCAAATGATAGTGACAAAAAGAAAATGTAGAAAAATACACTGATATGGTACACTGATATAATAATATTAATTGAATAATGATAATACCTTGTATAGGATGTTTAACTTAAATTGAACACCTGAGTTATTTCTGTCACTATTAAAAATTAAAAAAAAATGATTAAGAAGAATTTATATGGTTTTAAAACATATATATGGTAATGATTAAAGGATCCTCTTAATCATTTTGAAAATCATTTCAAGTTCATGTTAACATTTTTTTTATTGCTAATACTTGTTTCTATAATGTAATATTGTAGTTGACATTAATATAAGTTCAATGATCTATGATATAATGGTCTTAAAGAAAAGATTAAATTATAAAATATAAAAGCAATAAAACAGGAAAAGAATAATAAATTAGTTTATTTTATTAATTTATACAATTTATCTGCAGATAATTCGTGAAATACTTATAATAATTTCTAAAACGATAATTTCTGCTTTTTCATCTATAACACTTACATTTTCTCTTTCCAAAATAATGAATATTATCTGCTTTATAAAATAATGTTGATATTTAATTTGAAAATCAAGATGTCAAAAGTTATTGAACTCATCTTAGATTCTTTTAAATCTATCTTATAAATTTGTCGGTTATAATATTGTATTATAAAAAATTAATGTTGATATGCAAGAAAATATTAATCTTGAAATAACTTTCAAAACGACTTTCAAATAATTATTAGATGCGCGTCTTGCATCTGTATAAATATTTCTTTGTTATTTTTTTTTTTTTTTTTTT